GTGTCGAGTCTGCTTGAGATTCTTGTCCTCTTCCTCTCCCTCTGCCCCTGCTCTCTCTCTCTAAAATATATAAATAAATCTTAAAAAAAAAAACAAAACCCTGGCACTGCAAATATAAAGATGAATGGGAAAATTCATGTGAATAATCTAAATTTTTAATTTGTATTATTTGAGAATGACATTAAATAGCAAACAAAAACACCATAATAAGTTGAGAAAGAGACTAAGAAAGAAAAAAGCTTCGTATTTTAGGACCTTTAATGCACTTTTTCCCTGCTTTTTGAACAAAAATCTCCACATGTTCCTTTTGCACTGGGTTCCACAAATTACGTCATCAGCCTGCTTATAAATTCCTTTTCTACCTAAGCCAGTTTGATTTAATTTCCTGTTATTTGCTAACAAGAGCCCTAATTCGGAATCTTAATTTGAACTTGCTGGGGGTTGTAACTTTACACTTTGCTCCAGCTATTGTATTCAAATGAATGGGGGTATGATGCAGTGTAAAGAACACGGGCTTTTACGGAAGCGGAAAAGAGGCTCAGAGAGGTTTACTAATTGGGGCAAAGTCACAGAACTTCCAAAGGAAAGATCTGAGAGTGGAATCTGGCTCATTGTGACTATAGAAAGTTCGACAGAACTTTCTGTGATAAGGAAAATGTTCTGTGGCTGTGCAGCTCTACACGGTGGCCGCGAGCCACATGTGGCTATCGAGCCCTGGAAATGTGGCTCCTGGAACCAAAGAACTGAATTTTAAGCTTGATTTGTCATTAACTTGAATATAAATAGTGTGACTAGTGCTACTGTATCAGACCGCCCAGATCCAGAATCTGTGTCCTCACCCTGTAACCCAGCACCAGAATGATTCTGTGAGTGTTTGTAGAGGGCCTGGATTGCCCACTGGTTCCCTCTGGTGCATGGCTCTCTGACAGAGCCTGGCACGTAGTATGTACTCAACAAACAGCAGCTAAGTGGTTTCATGGGTGTTCAGGCCCAGTCTCTATAGATGAACAGTCTGGACAGGAGGGGCTGGAAGGTGCCACGAGAGTCACTTTACCCCCGCCTGAGGCAAACATGGGAAAGGACCAGCCTCAGTGGAGGTCAGGACGGCCCCCCAGTGACTCACACTAGCAGGAATCCACACCAAGATGGGTAAGATGTCCACAGAAAACCTTCCCGGAAGGACCCAGCCTGTAGTAGGCTGGGAAGGCTTGTCAGGCAGGAGATCAAGGCACCTCTGGTATGTCTCTGGAAAGCAGCCAACGAACCCAGAGCTGTCATCACCATAACCCAGCTCGGAGCTCAGACAGCTCAACCCAAACTTATTTTGATACATGGTGGAAGGGGTGAGGTCCCAGGCCCGTGGTCCACTCCAGCACATTGCTCCATGGCAGGTTCCAGAACCAGCTCTTGCACCTCTGAACTGGGCGCCTCTTTCAAAACAGGCTCTCCTCTTGCCTCCCCCTTGACCAGCACCCCCTTCCTTGGGTTAACTCCTGGCTTACTCGGGTCTCTGACTAACTGACCCCTCCTCCAGGAAGCCTTCCTACCCCCGCCTCCCCGGGCTGAGTTGACCCCTCTGTTGGTGCTGGAGAATCATCAATCAATAGCAAATAAATCTACTTCACTCTGTTCTCATAAATATTTCCTTGTCAGAGCCACTTAGTAGGGAACCAGGGTTAATGCGCAGGTGGCGACCACAGAAAGGCCTGAGTAGGAGAAAGAGAAGGAATGCTATAACTGGGAGAGTTGGGGAAGGCTTCAAGGAAGATGGGGCATTGGATCTGTGCTTTTGGAGTCAGGGGGAAGGACATTCCAGGCAGAGGAAACAGCACGGATGCAGGTGTGGAGGACGGAGAGAGGTGCGGGGCTAAGGGACTTGCGGTGGGTGGTGTCAGAGAAGCTCCAGGTCTGTCGAATGGGAGGAGGTAGGATGCTGGAGAGGTGAGCAAACGCAAGCCCTTGAGACCCTCAAACGCTTCCCTGAGGAGCAAGGACTTCATCCCGGAGGCTGGAGTGTTCCAAAGTTGTGTTCCCCAATCACTAGACCCACGGACATCTCTGCAGCAGAAGAGGGCTGAGAGTCTTATCCCCACTTGGAGACTTCCTCCAACAGATATTAGTATCGTAAAACTAAATAGTAAAACTAATAGTAGCTCCCTGTGAGTGTCTGCAAGGCACCAGGCAATGCTCTGAGCACTTAGCTTGCATCACCATATTTGATCCACATCACAACCCTATCAACTAGGTACTGTTGTAGTATTCCTATTTTATAGAGAAGCTAAGCAATTTGCCCAAGATCACATAGCTAGTAAGCAGTATACCTAAAATTTGAACTTGAGCAGTCTGACTTAGAACTGTCCTGGAGTAAAGAACCTGCTTGACTTTGTTTCGTCCCGCATTTCCCAACTTGTTTTTAATTACTGAAAAAAATTCTGCATATCTAGTAACATTGTAAGGCAATTGATTCTGTGGGCAACGGGGAGCTATTAAAGAGTTCTTATCCAGGATCCTTTTTTTTTTTTTTTTAAGATTTTATTTATTTATTCATGAGAGACAGAGAGAGAGACAGAGGCAGAGGGAGAAGCAGGCTCCCCGTGGAGCAGGGAGCCCGATGCGGGACTCGATCCCAGGACCCTGGGATCATGACCTGAGCCGAAGGCAGACGCTTAACCGACTGAGCCACCCAGGCGTCCCTATCCAGGATCCTTTCAATTTGATCTGCAAATATCCTTAGTAAGCTCATTATCAGTCACTCACACTTCAGTGTGAATTAGTCCTTTCTTAGAGTCCCCTCAATTTTCTTATAAGCTTCCTAAGGGCAAGTACTCTGTCAACTCATTGCTGTGTCCCCAGTACCCAAGACGGGTGGCATGACATGGTGCTATAAAAAGGTTTGCTTGAATGAGTTGTAATTTGGCCTGTTGAAGACAGTGGGAGCAGTGGAAAGAAAGACCTAAGTCCGGGAAGTAGGGGGTGGTATTGTCAGAATGGGAAGGACAGGAGGCAGGAGCCATTGTGGGGAGTCAGAGTCTTGGGGCTAAAGTGGAGATCAAGACTCACCCACATCAATGGTATGGCTAAAGGCCAGGCCTGGATATTGATTAAAACACAAATCCAAATATCTACTCAGAATATTTTCTCTTTTAGACAGTAATTAAACCAACTGGTTAACTGGAAAATGAGGTATTCCTTGGAGACGAAGGTGTATCAGGAAATTCTTGGCTTTAAGAATCACAGTTGGAAAAAACACACCTCTCGGACATGTATCCACTCCACCCTCATTCCCCCAAAGTTACTGGCAAAGAGTAGGGCCTTCGGAAGTTTGGCTTTTTGAACTAAGGGGTCCTTAGAAAGCATTCAGCCCCTTTCTTTCTTTCTTTCTTTCTTTTTTTTTTTTGGAGACTTTTTATTAATTCTTATTTTCAGTAGGCTCCATGCCCAACGTGGACCTCGAACTCACAACCCTGAGATCAAGAGTCACATGCTCTACTGCCTGAGCCAGCCAGGTCCCACCTCCCCTTCTCTCATTGGATGAAGGGCAAGACTGAGGTCCAGAGAAGGCGAGGTCACAGAGCTGGTTAAGTTGGGACCAACACCAAAGGGTCCCCGCCCAGTCGGGAGCTCTGCGCATAGCTTAGGGCCTGCACCCCAGCGCCCTCTGCCTGGACCGGCAGTTCCTTGGCCCCATCCTCTCCATCTTCCTCCTTCTCCCCTATGTCAGGGAAGGCAGTCACCGTGCACAACCCCCCTACCACAGACTGCGCTCCCTGCTGCCGCCTGACTGCCCCTAAGGAGATTACAGACTCCCAGGGAAACAGACTAGAGTTAATTCCCTCTAGCTTTAAAGGGCAGACCAGGCCACAAGAAAGAGCAAAAAGAAAACCTTTCTCAAAAAATTGCTAAATGCGGATGATGATCCTCACAGTCCTTTCCCTGTTGGGCCTGATGCGGTCCAGCACTGCTTTCACAAATAATCTCAGGATGGGATGCTGCACCAGCCCCAACAAAGTAGACACTATTATTATGTTTGTCTTATGGATGGGAAACTGAGGCACTGCGTGCTTATATGGCTTGCCCAGCGTCACACAGCTGGTCAGTGGCAGAGCAGGGACTTGAATAGTCCCTTGGTTGTGTCATTTTTAAAAATAATAGGCCCTGAGAGCCTACAGGGTTCTCAGCTTCAGGCGTGAAGCAACCATGAGGGATACACATCACAGTGAAGGGCAGGCCCCAAGTCTGAACCCAGCTCCACTGGACTCAGATCCTACGTGCCCCACAATACTGCTAAGCACTTTCGAAGCCATCTCTCTGCTCCTGGGGTACCAATCAAACCAACACAGGCCTGAATTCCACTCCACTACTGTGAGCTCCGTGACCATGACCAAGGGGCTCTGACTCCTGGGGTCTCAATCTCCCTTTCAGTAAAATGGATGTTGGAATTTTAGGGTTGTCGGGATGACCCCTATGACTCACACAGGTCAAGCAGGTGAACAGGCCTGGCACACAGCGCATACCCCTTGCCTCAGTTTCCTCATCTGTAAAATGATACTCATAGTACTCACTTGTCAGAATTGATATTAGGATTAAATGCCTTGATGCAAGTAAGTAATGTGCTTCTAGAACAGCACCTGGTACACAGTAAATGCTTAATTTATGTTAGTGACTGCTAGTATCTTATTGCTTTGCCACAGTTCTTTCTGGAATAAAGCGGGGGTAAAAATCAAACCAACCAAGCAAGTCTCTGGGCCCCTCCCCTGTTTGAGAGGTGCACTTGGCTTTGAGGTCCAAATCCCCAGACCACATGGCCTGCTCTAATTTCCCAGGCCCTAATCTGTTTCTGGCTCCTAATGATGCAGCTGGTAATAGGATTGTGGCTTCCCTCTGGGGCAGCCATGCAGGCCATGTGCCCACCTGCCTGCTGAGCAGCCAGACCCCCTGGCTGGGACCCTGTGCCCTCAGCTGGCCTCACGTGCATGGAATGGTGCTGTGCCCTGTGCCGGCAGGCTGGGCTCACCATGGTGCCAGGTGCCATCCTGGCACGAGGGAAGGATGTGTGCAAGCGAAATGGACTGCTCATCCTGTCTGTGTTGTCTGTCACCGTGGGCTGCCTTCTCGGCTTCTTCCTGAGGACCCGTCGCCTCTCACCACAGGTCAGCCACCCAGAGCTTCTCGGGGGTCCCCGTCGACGAGGGGTATGTGGGCCTGAGGGATCTGGGAATCTATCCCACTCCATGGCTCCCTGGTGACATGATAGTGGGGGAGTCACTTGGCCTCTCTGGGTTTCAGTCTTCTCATCTGTAGCATGGGTGTGATGAAACCCTGCAGAACTAGAGTGACAGCCAGTAAAATGGCAGAGGAAGTGGTTACAGATGGCATCACCAGGTGAGCGAGAGGTCAGGGCATCTCATTAGAACAAGCACAAGGTGAAGAGGACGGGGGCAGGAAGAAGGGGCTCAGGCATCAGAGAACACCTCCCAGAGCAGCTCAGATGACAAAAGACCCAGGAATGGTATTCCGGGCAGAGGTAACAGCTGGAGCGAGACCCAGGGCCATAAAATACTTCGGCGTGTGTGGAGCAGACTGTTCACAGCAGCTGGGATGTAGCCCGTGAGGCAGGGGCTGGAGCCCCAGGGGCCCTCGGGGGCCTGGCACCGCCGTGAGCCGCTTTGGGCAGGGGAGCGAAATGGTCAGATCTCAACTCGGAGAGATCACTCTGGTGCTGAGTGCAGGATGAGGGAGTGGTGGGACAGGCAGGGGACCAGGTGAGGAGGTGGTGACAGCGGTGAGACCTGACAGCAGGATGAACAGGGCCCATGTGAGAACTGTTTCCAGAAAAGGAACCCTCTGGACATGGTGGCAGACTGGGTGCAGGGCTGGGAAGCAGGGCCGGCCCCTGGGGTTCTGGCCTGTGTAACTACAAGGGTGGCAATGCCTTGCCTGAGCAAGGGCCCCTGTCCCTCTCAGCACCCATCTCCCACAGGACAGGGAGGGACACTCCCATGGCACTGGAGAAAACATGATTCTGACCCTTGTTAAAACAGTAAGGGAGACTTTGTTCAGGACTACTGGGATAGGTGTCAAGACCATGGGAACAGGGGAGAGAGATCAGGCTCATGTCCGAACACAACAAAGACAGCTGGGGACTTAGAGACAATGAACATAGTGAGGGGGCCAACTGAGAGAACATTGCTAAGAGGAGACGTGGAGGGTAGAGGGATTCTTGCTGAAGGTAGAGAGGGGGCATTCTCGCTAACCTGACGTGGCAGGATTTTTGCTATAATTGGGCCAGGCAGGCCGAAGACAAGGCCCAAGGATGAGGCCTGGCCGAAAAGAGAGCCCCGATTTGCTAGTCTCATGTTTGTTCGAGGAGAATCTTTGTCAATGGGCTCCTGGAAGATCCCCTATTTCACAAAATTCCTCTTCCTGCAGCTCACCAACACCTAATATGATCTACACCTGGGGCTCAAGCATCATATTTCATCTTCCATGAAAAGGGAAACACTCCCTCCCTGAGAACTGAGTCCCTATTACAAGGGTAACACTGTTAAGCCACTCTCAGCTATTAAGGGAGAGACTTGGACTCTGGAGGCAGCAGAACCTTGAACTTTGACTCTACTCGGAAACGGCTGTGTGGCCCTTGGCAAAATCCTATCTCCTCTCTGGACCTCGTTTTCCTTATCTGGAGTGGGGGGCACTATAGGTCTATTAGAACTGTCATGAGAATAAACAAGGACTCATCAGTGCCAGGCATACAGTGGCGCTGAGTGGCTGGTACTTCACTCCTCCCTCCCTCATCTGCCTGTCCAAGTCCTAACTGTGTTGAGAGCCATCTCATATTCCATATCTTACAAAAATTCTTCCAGACCTGCCCCCACTTGAAATAATCCTCTGCTCCCCCGCTCACCCCACGCTCAGCCTTCCCCTGTAGACAGCTGCCGACTGTCCTGCTTCTGAGGCTTTTGTGCAGGTGTCTGGAGCTCCCAGCAGATTTTGACTTGCTGAACATCACATGGGCTTTCATGAGCCAAAATGTGAGTCTAGCTCAGGGCTTGTCACAGAGAGAACCCTCGCCTCTTTGCTGAATTAAATGGGCAACGCACAATCTGCAATCTTTCTTTAATTTCCCTGAGCAACAAAAAATATATTTCCTGCCGGAAGATTATTTTGTGAAAACAAATTGGAATCCTTATTATTAAAAGCCAAGTTCATCTGGGGCCTCCTTTGCCAAAGCTGCCTGCCCCGTCTGCTTGGAAATGCAAATGTGTTCTGGTCTGGATTAACCTGCCAGATAAACCGAAGAAAGGATGTGGAGTCTGATCAGTGATTTGGCAGGAACTGGCTTTCTCAGCATCTTACTTTGAAATCCAGGGGTTGTTTCTATGATCTCTGCCTGTGACTCAGAAATTAAACCCTCCTTATTTTGTAAGCTTATGCAACAGGCACAAGTTGTAAACAATTTGCAAAATGGAAGCATGTCCTCCTTGTGAAAAGAACTTACAAGATCGCAGATTTTATCTTTGGAAATAGTATCTCATGTAAAAACATAGATCATTTTGAGGGGTCCCTGGGTGGCTCAAGTGTCCAACTCTTGATTTCGGCTCAGGTCATAATCTTGGGGTTCTAAGATCGAGCCCCATGTGGGGCTATGCACTGGGCGTGGAGCCTGCTTGGGATTCTCTCTTTCCCTCTCCCCCTGCCGTGCACATGTGTGTATGCTCTCTCTCCCTCTCTAAAAACAAACAAATAGGGCGCCTGGGTGGCTCAGTTGGTTAAGCGACTGCCTTCGGCTCAGGTCGTGATCCTGGAGTCCCAGGATCGAGTCCCACATCGGGCTCCCTGCTTGGCAGGGAGTCTGCTTCTCCCTCTGACCCTCCTCCCTCTCATGCTCTCTGTCTCTCATTCTCTCTGTCTCAAATAAATAAATAAAATCTTAAAAAAAAAAATAAAATAAATAAATAAATAAATAAAAACAAATAAATAAAAATAGAGATCATTTTGAGAGCTTCAGTTAAACCACAGTGAATTTACAATTGCATCCATTTTCCTTTCCTTCTTGGAATTCCACTAAAACTATAGTAATGGAATTTTTTAAAGATATAGACTCCCAAGAGAATATAAAAGGAGACAATTGAGAAAAGAAGTTGAGGGAGTACCATAAATTAGGCAAAGATGGGAAGAGGATAGAGTTGAATGATCTCACTCAGCAGAGCACAGAAAGCTAAACCCTGTGTCTATAGAGGTAGATGCCATGTCAGTTTGGCTCGGAGAACTCCAGAAAGCTTCTGCACTTGAAAGTGCACAGAGCTGCAGGAGGCCAGGTGAAGCAAGGAGGTGAAATCAGAGACATTGGTTGGAATTTTGTAACTGGAGCACTTAGGCTGTCAGTCCCTTCCAGTTCCTGTAATCAGGGGACTCCTCATCCGCCCATCTCTACCGCCCTGCCTGTGCCTCACAGAGAAGCTTGACTTCGGGAAATTCGGTCCACCTGTGTGTACTGGGGGAGGGGAGGTGATGAGGCACATGCATCCCACAAATGAGTGGACATTTGCCTTCGAGTGTGGGATCTCCGTAAGACTGCTGTCAGCCGGGCTTAGGCACATCCTCACCCCCTAGTCGGAGGTGAGAAGAGACTTCTCACGAGCCTCAGAGAAAAGATCTCCAAATCCTGCTCTAAAGGCGATTCTTCCCCCATCCCATTCTATCCAGAGTAAACAAGTCAGACTGTCACCCATCACCTTCCTTGAGGAGCCATCACCTGACAAGTTCCACTCGCGCATACACACAAGTTCAGGGCCTCACACTTACATCCGAGCAGAAAGTCAGTCAAAGCTTCTAACAGAGACAGGGACTAAACAAACGGAAAAGGGTCTCTAAGGAAGCAGAGACAAAGTAGGAATTAGAAGAAAATTGTTTAAATCTTGTCTTAAGTTCTTCGGAGATGTGAGAGAAGATACAGTGACTGTAAGACAGAACAGGATACAAAAAGAAGGAACAATCCGAGAACAAGAAAGAATTTTTGCGGGGCACCTGGGTGGCTCAGTCGTTAAGTGTCTGCCTTCGGCTCAGGTCATGGTCCCAGGGTCCTGGGATCAAGCCCTGCATTGGGCTCCCTCCTTCGCGGGAAGCCTGCTTCTCCCTCTCCCACTCCCCCTGCTTGTGTTCCCTCTCTTGCTGTCTCTCTCTCTGTCAAAAAATAAATAAAATCTTAAAAAAAAGAAAGAAAGAAAGGAAGGAAGGAAGGAAGGAAGGAAGGAAAGAAAGAAAGAAAGAAAGAAAGAAAGAAAGAAAGAAAGAAAGAAAGAAAGAAAAGAAAGAAAAGAAAGAAAGAAAGAAAGAAAGAAAGAAAGAAAGAAAGAAAGAAAGAAAGAAAGAAAGAAAGAAAGAAAGAAAGAAAGAAAGAAAGAAAGAAAGAAAGAAAAGAAAGAAAGAAAGAATTTTTGGAAATTAAAAATCGACGAGGCAAGATAAACATGTCAATAGCTAGGATAAAGTTGCAGAAATCTCCCAGAAAGTAAAACAAAACAAGATGAAAATAGAAGAAAATTAGAGGTGTCCAACATCCAACTCTCTAATAAGAGAGTTTTCGAGAGAGCTAACAGAAAAAATGGGGAGAAAATTTTCACAGGGCATGTAAGAAATTTTCTCAGAAGTGAAAAATATGCACAGCACTATGAATTTAAAAAAAAAGAAAGAAAGAAGAAACTCTCATGCCATGGTACATCACCATGAAAATTACAGAAAACTGGAAATTAACAGAAAATCCTTAAATGGTTCTGAGGGAATAAAACAAGTCTCCACCAAGGAATAGGAAGAATGGTTCCAAACATCATAAGCAACACCAGAATCTAGAAGACAAAGGGAAACGCCTTTGAAAATTTAGAGGGAAAATTCTTTCAAACTAAGAATCTTATATATGGCCAGACTAATATCTGAGGTAAGGGTAGGATAAAGGCATTTTTGCTCATGTAAGGACTAAGTTTCTCTCCCATTCACCCTTATTTCATAAAGATTTTCTAGAGCATTGGAAATGATAGTAGAACAGGACAAGGGGGCCTGATTTCTGGTCCTGCACTGTCACTGCTAAGTCCTCTCCATCTCTTGGCTCAGCTGGACTAGAAGATCTTTAAAACCCCTTCTCAGCACCAAAATTCTAGGAGTTGGGGCTTTTCAAAGTATCAGACCATTAACCAAGTGTTTAGCTTTGGTGGAAGGAAGGAAGGAAGGGAGGGAGGGAGGGAGGGAGGAAGGGAGGAAGAGAAAGATGGTTGCAAGTCCAAAAACTTAACTTGGATGATGGCCACAGAGCTAGTTCCGGGGGGGTCAAGATTAGAACCCAAGTCTGTTTGGCTCCAAAGCTGGTGCTTCCTCCGTGGCCTCTGCCGTCCGCGTGGTGCACAGGAGCGTGCGGGTGGAACGGTGTTTGAAGACATGAACAACTGTCAAGTCGGTACCGCCTGCTATAATCCCCGCTCTTGCTGTATTTTCAGGAAATTAATTACTTCCAGTTTCCTGGGGAGCTCTTGATGAGGATGTTGAAGATGCTGATCCTACCACTGGTGGTCTCCAGGTGAGGGAGGGGCACATGTTTGGCTGGGAGGGGAGGGGGTTCTGTACGAATTCAGTAGGTGCTAACACTCCTGCTGTGGGCAGCTGGCCTGTGGCCACAGGCCTGGGGAATAGCATGCCATGGGGTCTCTGTGGTCACTGGGTTGTGGCACAGGCTGCTGGAGCCTTGGGCTTCAGTGGCACCACTGATTTCCAGCCCATTCAAGGGACTTTTTCGTGACTTGAACAAGTGATTTGGTGTCAGGGGACGTGACCTGACTCCCAGGTAACTCAGGGCCAGGGAGGTCAGGGATGGCTTCCCAGAGGAGAGGCTCTTTATGGTGAATGCTGCAGGGCATGAGGAAAAGACAACTTTGGAGATACTCATGAGATGATATCCTGGCTCAGCTGTGCAACCTTGGACAGGCGCCCAGACTCCTCTGAGCTTCAGCTTCCTCATCTGCAAAATGAGAATAATAACACCTACAATAAAGGATTGTTGCAAGGACTGCCCGAGGCTATACGTATTTGCATGCGCTAGATGTTTGGGAGGGGCTGGGTTCTTGCTCAAGCATGAAAGACCTTGTATGCCCGGCTAAAGAATTCACACTTACTCACTGGGGGAGGGCCACTGGAAATCACTGGAGATACCTGTCCCCTACCACTGACATGCTGGGTGACCTAAAGCCAGCCCCTGCCCCTCTCTGTGTACTGAGCTGGCCCCTCCAGGTGGTATCTGAGAGCCTTCTTTGCTCTGAGGCTGTGGGTTTGGAATCCTCACCTCCCAGGACTTCTGTGCAGGGAGGGACATGGACACACCTCTGAGTCCTGTGTGTATGTTGGTGGGGAGTAGTGGCTCTGTCCCCTGGGGCAGGGTCATCAGCTTCCCCAGCCTCAGCTCCTCCCCCCCTTCCCTCCAGGGCAGGGAGGCCAGTGAATGGTACCCTCTGCCCCCCACCCCCAGTTCAGCTTCCTGCAGGTAGCATTTAGGTCTCTCAGGACTCAGCCCCCCAAGGATCTTGCTGAAACGCTGTCTCCCTCCCTCCAAAATCTTTCCCTGACTCCTCAACCCACTCTAGTTGTCTCCTCTTTATGCATCTTTTGAGTCATTCACTGAGTCAGTGAACCAGTGAAAGTCACCAGTAGCTTGCATGTTGCTAAATCCAAAGAACACTCAGTTCCTGCTCTCCATGACCTCTCTCTCCATAGCAGGCATGTTGCTAAATCCAAAGAACACTCAGTTCTGCTCTCCGTGACCTCTCTCTCCATAGCAGCTGATGCACTTGACAGAGCAGCTGATCCCCCTTTCCCTCTTGAATTCCTCCTCAGAGCTGTTGCCTGTTCTCTGTCCCTCCGTCCCAGTCTCTCTTCCTCTACTTCTCAGGACTTCTCTCGTCCATCCTCATGGCTTTGATGTACCACCTGCAAGCCCGGCACTCCCAAGTACTCCAGGCCTCTCGTCTGACCCCCACACTCAAACTACCTATTCGACATCTCCCCTGGATGCTTAACACGTGTCTCAAGTTCAGTGCAACAGCTTGAGATTTTACCCCACAAACCAGTTCCTTCCCCTTATTTCTGCTGGTCCATAAATGGCGGCTCCATCCACCCAGTTCTTCAAGCCCCCTTGCTAATTATTCCCTTCCCACTCCCACCGTCAGCCAGTCCATCAGTGACTGCGGCCAGTTCTTCCTCCCAAACCCAACCTAGCTTCCCCGCCGCCAACCCAGGTCCAGACTCCATGGTCCCCTCACTGGCCTCCTTGCTTCTGTTCCTGTTCCCCTCCCACCCGTTCTCCACCTTGTGGTCAGAACCACCTCCTGAAAAGCCATCTGGGCTTGCTATCCATTAACCTAAAACCCACCCATGGCTGCCTCAGCATTTCAAACAAACCCTTCCACCCTTCCCCTGATCTCAGAGGCCCTGCCTGATCCTCCCCTACCTGCACCCCACTTCAAGGCCCCACTCACTCCAGTCCCACAGGCCTTATAGACCAGACCAACCCTGCCCCATCTCAGGGTCTCCACACAGGCTGTTCCTTTTGCCTGCAACACGCTTCCCCGCACTCTACATCTCTTCCTCCTCCTCTTCCTTTAGATCTCCACCTGCACATCACTGCCTTAGAACGGCCCGCCTCACCCGTCCCTCCCCTCTCCCCTCAGCACCAGCTTCGCTCTGCCTCACCAAGTCCTGCTCCTTTCCCTGCTCAGCACTGACCATACGTTGTCATCCTGTTTGGACTCACTTGGCCCCTTGTTTCTTTAACTCCCATAGGACCGCAAATGCGGTAAAGGCAGAGATACTATTCTGCGGAGGTTCCACTCTCCACCTAGCCAAGTGCCTGGCACACAGTAGGTACTCCTTAATGCCTGTCAGGTGAGTTAGCGAAGGAGCCCAACAATCATGCCCAGTGCTCTCGGGGCACTTGGCCCTGTCATGCGCGCTGCAGATACAGAGACGCCTGAGGGTCAGGCCCCGAGGAGCTCACAGGCTGTGAGGGAGACAGACGAGAAAGCACAAGGTTACAGGACAGCTAAACAAGTATGTTGGCGGAGGAAGCACAGGACTCTTTTTTTTTTTTTTTTCTTCTCCTTATGATATAAAGCATGGGACTCCTGTCAGGCAGCTTTCCCGACCTTGACCTCTAACCATCCTTACTTCCCCGGGCGTCGCCTCTTATTCAGAATCCAAACACCTCAGGGGCAGAGGCCAGGCCCTTGCATGGACCTGGAGTCACACAGACCTGGGGTCCTGCCCCTGGCCCTGCCATTGCCTGGCTGTGTGACCTTGGGCAAGTCATTTAACTTTTAAAAAGTCCTAGAGTCAGGGGTGCCTGGGTGGCTCAGTCGGTTGAGCGTCTGACTCTTGATCTTAGCTCAGGTCTTGATCCCGGGGTTGTGGGTTCAAGCCCCACGGTGGGCTCCACACTGTGTGTAGACACTACTTTTTTTTTTTTAGATTTTATTTATTTATTTGAGAGAGAGAGAGAGAGAAACAGCATGAGAGGGGAGAGGGTCAGAGGGAGAAGCAGGCTCCCCACTGAGCTGGGAGCCCGATGTGGGACTCGATCCCGGGACTCCAGGATCATGACCTGAGCTGAAGGCAGTCGCTTAACCAACTGAGCCACCCAGGCACCCTGGGTATGGAAACTACTTAAAAAAAAAAAAACCCTGTAGTCAGAGTCAGAGGCCTGGGTCCCCGACCTGCTTCCTCCACAAATTATCATGTGATCTTAGGTCAGGCACCCGCACTCTGGGCCTTGGTTTACCCAGCTTACCTAGTGACTAAGGGCCTGTCCACCTCTCCAAATCCTGGCTCTCAGAGGCCCAGTCTTTCTCCACTAGACGAAAGTGCGTTCTCTGCGCTGGGAACGGAATGTTGTATTAACTTGAGAAAAGCCAGTGTGTGTTCACACATTTCCTTTGTTTATTATACAGTTTGGGCTGGTGCAGAGCGGCTGTACCACTGAAAAATGGAAGTGCTTTCAGTTTCCTACTCAGGGAGAATTAAACGTTCTCGGGGGGAAAATGACACATTTCTGAGCCCCAAACCCTGCATCCCTGAACTCATCTTCTTTTGGCTTCAACTGGTCTGTAATCCGTCCATCCATCAGGCGCCCACAGTCCCCTGAGCTCTTGCTTCTGGCCAGTTCAGGGCTGGTGATCCCTGTCCTCAAGGGGCAGCCACACTGGTGTGGGGGGTCATCACTTAGGATGGAGCAAAATCACCAGAGCTGCTTTGACCACTCAGATGTCAGGCTTCACACCGGGCTTACTAAACCAGAACTGCCAAAGGGGCCCAAGTAGGGGATGGTTTAAAAGTTCCACAAGTGTTTGAATGGTTAAGCAAAACAAAAAAACCCCCTCAGTCCATAGTCCTGCATCTTCCCGTTCTTGGGCCTCTTTTCTCTAGAATCCACTCCAAGCCAGCACCTAGCCTGAGCCCCCTCAGCTGAGTGCATCCTCCCATTGGCCAGTTGTAGCTTCATGATTCAGTGAGGGTGGGGAGCCCTAGGTACTGGCCGGCTTGGCTGAGAATCTGCAGGAGACTCCAGGGGAGGAGCTGGGCCTTTGGAGTCATGCACTGGAGGTGTGAACCTAATCAAGTCTCTCAGCTTCTGAGCCTTAGTGACCTTCCCTGTAAAATGGGAAAAACACCCACCTCCCTTCTGAGAATGAAATAAGATAATGTCCTTGGAGCAAGCAGCAAAGCTCCTGATATATGATGAATGTCGCCTGTTTTTTTCTGACTCATGAGAGCTTCACCAGGTTTCTCCAAGGCCCAGAGGTGTTTCATGAAACCCTCCACCTCGGTTCTGCTGTCTGCAGGCAACCCCTTTGGGTGACCTCTTCCACCCACTGCTTACTCGTCACTTCCTCTGGGAAGCCTCTCTGGGCTCAGGCTCACTTGGGAACACGGATGCAGACCTGCACGCCCGTGTTCGGGGCAGCCTTCGCAGGCGCACGGACTAGGTACCATGCATGTCCACGTGACACACACGTGTTGCCCTTGCCCAGAGCCAGTCCGTGTGCCATGGCTGTCGCCGTCACCTCACCCTCCAGGAATTCTTCGTGCCTCTTGCTTTCCTCTGCCCTCACATTCCTGCAACTGGTCAGGGGACAGACAGCCTGTGCCAGTCTTCCGTTCACACGCAGATCCCTTGCTTCAAACAGCACACAAATTTAGCAATTTCACTGACAGCTGGGAGTCAAGATCACAGGGACGGATTATATTAAGGAGTGTAAGCCCTTCAGCCATCTCTGGGTTCCCTCCCTCTCTGTATATTAGTTATCTATTACTCTGGAACAAATTACCACAAACTTAGCCATTAATTATCTACCTCTTTCCATGGGTCAGAAGCCCAGGCATAGCTTAGTTGGATCCTCTGCTCGGGGTCTCATGAGGCTGCAGTCGAAGCGTACGCTTAGCTGTGTTCTCATCTGAAGGCTTGGCCAGGGAAACATCTATTTCCAAGCTCATCTGGGTCGTTGGCAGAAGTCATTTCCTTGTGGCTGTATGTCTGAGGGCCCAGCTTCTTAACAGCTACCAGCTGAAGGCCACCCTCAGGTCCTAGAGGCTATCAGCGGTTCCCTGACTTCTGGCTCCCTCCAAAGGCGACTCCCAACATGGCTTTTGGCTTCATCAGGGCCAAGAGAAGGATCCCTCAGACTTCTGAGACAGGCTTATATAACACAATCATGGGAGTGACATCCCATCACCTTTGCCATATCCTATTAGTTAGAAGCAAGTCACAGACCCCATCTACACTTAGGGAGGGAGATTATCCAAGGGTGTGGATCACTGGGGGTCAACATAGGGTGTATCCACCTCTTTCCTTCTCTCTCCCCACCTTCCTTCTCTTTACCACTATTTTAAGACCAGCCAGAAATCCTGTCCTCCTTGTCTTTCAAAAGTCACCTCCACTCCTGCCCCGTTCCTGTGGGGCGGGGTGGGGGGGGTGTGGAGGCGCTGCTCAGCTTCTGGTCCACGTGGCTCATCAAGGAATTTCTTCTAAACAAGGACAACTCTCTTATCATAAAAAATTCTGAAGAATATGAATTCCTCTATCTCTTTTACAGGAACATCGCAGGGCCTGCTCTACAGTAGGTGCCTAATAAATGCATATTACATGAGTAAAGAGCAGTGGAAGGGCAGCTGAGGCAGAATTCAGGGACGGTTCATGACCGACATTTGAACTGACCCTTGGAGGATGATTCAGAGTTGCCTTTTAAAGATGTTTTTGTATTTTAAAAAATTCTATAATTATAAACCCTTTAGAGAATCCAGAAAAAAAGATCCTCCTATCATCCCAGAATCCTAATTCTGCCACTGTGATCTTTTCCCCTATAAATGGTTGCTTTAACTTTTTTAGTAGTGAATCACCAGGCTCAGGGTGTGGTCCTTGGCTGACTGGTTCAGAAGCTCATCCTCATCTGAGCCCCGGAGCTGGTGAGACCAGTCCTCCGATGCTGGCAAGAGGCAACAAAATACACGAAATGCCGATGTATTCATTCACAGAGATAACCTCAGTTGCCAAGGAGGTCAGGTGCATGCAGTCTCTGGCCGGAGCATTTCTCCCTGTAGGCTCGCCACTCGGGGAACCCACTGGGTCAATGTTTGCTGGCAGGACGATCTAGTTTTTTAATTGTATGGCCAGTGTGACGCCGGGTCTGCCATTTGAGTTAATTTCTGGGTCAACCTGGTGGAGTCCCATCATATATGCATTTAACTTAAGCAAATTCAATGACATATGCTGTGGGAAACCGAGAAAAAGAGTTTAAAGGAGGCAGGAGGCTGCCCCCATTCAGAGAGCTGTGCTCCTGATGAGCGTACCATGCGAGAGGTGGGTGCGCTTCACCCTAAGCCAGTCTCAGTTCCCACGTGCCTCTCAAAGCGTGAGCATTTCCCTGAAGCAGTTGTGATCAGCTGGTGTTCACCTAAACAAACAGCAGCCCATAACATAACAATAAAAAAAATTAAAAAAAAAAAAAAGAAACAGCAGCCCATTTCCCAAGAAAACCGTCTTGAGTGAACTTACATGGAATTATACCTCCTCAACTTTATGGGCAACTTAAGGGATCTCCAGGGCAAATTTAATTCTCCTTGGCTTTTGTCCTCCGTACTGACTTCAGAACTGAATGTGCCGAATAAGGGCCTGCTCCTCTGTACAGCAGGGAGCCTAATGTCTTCCTCTTGAGGTTTATACCCCAGTGGCCAAAGTCAGCTTATTTCCTTTAGGGGAAGCTTCCAGCCAGGTAGCTGGAACTGGAGGATTTGATCTTGCCACTAGCCCTGTTGCTCTGGTTCCTTCCACATGGTGTTGCTGTCGAACACAGGCCCTGCATGGTCTGGTTCACATCAGCACCCTGCCCCCTTCAGGTGCGTGTCCCTGCTCTGGCTCCTAGATCCCCCAAGTGCCTGGTCATTGTTCTCAAAGCAGCCTCAGTCATGCCCTGAGTTTGGCTCCTTGGGATTGAGCCCTGATCCCTTTTCCCTCCTGTTGGGTTAGCCCTGGGGGCTTTTAGCGCCAGCAGATCTTGGTCATAGGTACCCTAGTATACCCTGACCCTAACTTCAAACGGCAGGGAGCAGGGTGTGGGATCTTAGTCTCTTTTCTCCCAGAAGGCCCCTGAGCCTCTCATGCAAACTGAGGCACTTTTCATAACTCTGCATGCAGATCTTAAGGTCTCAAGGTCTTAAGGTGTGTCCATCAAACCACAGAAGTCTCTCCTTTCCCCTGGACTAAGGTGCTTCTTACCTTGTATTTGCCATTTGAAAATGTTTGGTTTTTTTTTTTAAGATTTTATTTATTTATTTGAGAAAGAGAGTGAGCGAGAGAGAGAGCACAAGCAGGGGGAGCAGCAAAGGGAGAGGGAGAAGCAGTCTCCCTGCTGAGCAGGAAGCCAGATGCAGGGTTCGATCCCAGGACCCCGGAATGATGACCTGAGCCAAAGGCAGACGCTTAACTGACTGAGCCACCCAGGTGCCCTTGAAATTGTTTTCTAAAAATGAAATTGGTTGCAAGGAAACGAGCTATCTCTACCTATGAACACAGAAGCCTCAGACAAAATTTAGAAAATTCTGCCTCCCGGTACATTGGTGCAGGAATAGTCAGATGGTTAGGACCTGCCACAGCACTGTCATGTCCTTGAACTGGCCTCCCATGAGTGGTGCTTGGGTGGGTCCTGAGCGCTTTGCCGCTCTCCGCTCTCTTCTCTGTGCCCCTCTGCGGACTGAGCCGTGCTAATCATTCCTCTTCCACTAGAAAAGTCAATCTTTGGAGCCTTGGGGGCCTTCCTTTCCCATTTTCTCTGTTATAGCACCTGTCACTATTCGATCCCTTTTGCTTTTTAATTTATAGTTTACCCCAAAGGGTACTGGCAACTTCCTGTTCCTTTAAGTTCTCAGAGATGTCACTGTTACTTCCACAAAAATAAGTCTATGTGTTTCTTTTTTTCTTTTTCATTCAATGTGATGTCATAAGAATTGTCCACACTGCACCCTCGTCTCCATAATCTTGTTTTCATCTTCCACTTGGGCCAGAGCAGAGTTTGCGAAACCCTTTTCCTTTCACTCGACACTTAGGATGCTGCTGGATGTCCTTTTGGGGCATCACTGTGTCCCACGACTCTGGAGTTACCTCAAGGTCTGTTATTTACCACATTCTTGGCCTCAGCCATAAAAGAGACACGATGCCGTCAGCCAACTGACAAAGCCATAGCCAGCAGGTGCTTTCTTATTTTTATTTTTTGGTGGCCCATCAAGGCCCCAAATGGGCTGGAGTTTGCTTCTGAGCTTGGGAAGTCAACTGTGCCTTGTTTTCACACATCCCCAGACAAGTGACACCAGGAAGCAGGGGTGGGTGGGACCAACATCTGGATCCAGCAAGGGCCTCTAATTCTCCACGTGTTCTTTGCCAAACCCTCCTCTCCCCTCATTCTTCAGTTTCTTAAACCAGCCATCATTCAAGGGAAACTGAATCCATGTGTTTGTGATTCACTGATGCTGAACATGGCAGAATGTTTTGTAAGCTTCACATCACAGCAAAGAAATCCAAGTGCGTGTGTGGGTTTGTGCGGGACTGTGTAGTGTGTATCTTCACCTGTGTGTATGGTGTGTACGTCTGCGCATGCATATGCATTCCTGTGTGTGTGTTGTTTTCCTTTCTGTTTCTTGTAAGAATTTTCAACTGATTTTTCTTAGAATCAGGAAATCATGTTTGGCCAAAGAAACCTAACACTCCCTTCCCCCGCCTCCTGAGGAACTCCAGCTTGGCAGAAAACACCCAAACACCCACGTTCTGACTTATTGGAGACGGTCCTGGGCTGCACAGCCGTTGCAGTCTGGTTCAGGAGCCAGTGTGCAGGGGGCAGCCGCCCCGGGCTCCCCAACCCACAGTGAGTGGGAGGGAGGCAGGAGGAAAGAGCAGCCTGTGCTCTCGCTCTGCCCCTCACGCCATGGGCGACTTCTCTTAGCAAAGCTCTGCTGACCTCTCTGATGGGAGGAGCCCTGGGATCTGTCCTTGGCCCTCTTGCCCAGTCAGCTGACCGCCTTACTCATCAGGAGGGGGAACATGGCCCAGCTGTGGGCTGCGGGTGGGGTCAGACCTTCAGCCTGGTGACTCTGAAAACCTCCCGTTTTATCAACCGATCACGGGCTCCCATGCTCTTTCCCCTGTCCAGGTAGAGAATTCCTATTCATCCTGCAAGGATCCATTCAGCAGCCACCTCCTCCGGGAAGCCTAGATTCCCAGGCCAGGCTAGACCCTCTTCTGGCCTCTCCCAATCACAGCCATGACCCAGGGTTCCATGTTGTCCAGCACAGGCCTCTCCACCAACTGGCTGGAGCTCCTTGAGGACCACGAGCCCATCTCATTCCCTCCTGGGACCCACAGCACCCAGAGCAAGTGTTCAGCATGGGGCAAGATGGGAACATACCAGAGTACAGGGAGGTGGGGGAGGTTCTGAAAAGCTCCCACTGCCCTTCTCTGTGGAGACCACTGCCCTGGAGGGTCTCTTTTGACCTAGAGAAAGCCTCCCTTGGGCAGCCCAGCCTGAGCCCTCGGTGGAGAGACACCAGGAGCCCAGCTGGCAGAGGGAGAGGAGCAGAAGACCTATGTTCCCTTCTACCCTGGGGCAGGGGGTGGTTTTTCCTTCCTCTGGAGCAGGGCTCCTAACCATGGCATGGTGGCACTGGTCATAACCAGGCATCCCAAGGACGTTGTTCCTCATGGTAGAGAGGACAGTCTGCAACTGTAGACCAGGGTGGTCCTCCGTGGGAACACTCTGGCTCCCTCACACCTGACATTCCTTGTTTTGTGGGAAAGAAAGGAGTAGGAGTTCAGCTCTCATGGAGTTAGGACCTGGACGGGATCCTTATTACACTTGGGCACACAGCCTTCCTGGTGGAGAGTGGTTGACTGTGAGCTCTGAGGGAGCTTTAGTTCCCCAAGCTTTTACTTTCGATTCCGTTCAAGCTTGTTATTTGCAGATTATTTGTGAGCTTGTTATTTGCGAGCCCCAATTAAGCACTGTTCTGGTGCCCAGGGGTCTGGCTGGGAAAGAGGGACCTTCAGAGGGCAGCTGGGGATGACAAGACAGCAGTGTCCTGCTAGACCCATGCCTGGCTCTGTACCCGCCCTCCACCCAGCCGTCCTCCTTTCCCATCCTACCTCTGCACTCTGAGCCCCACAACATCTAAAGTGGAACCAAAGAGCTTTGGTGTAGCTCCAGAGGGCAGGGCTGGGCCCAGAATGGGGAGTTCTCTTCCCTGAATGTGGATTTCATTCTGGCACTGGGAAGGACTTTCTAATAAGCATAGCTAGCCCATATGGAGGGGCTGACGTAAGGTAGTGAGTTCTCTGCCCTCTGAAGTGTGCAAGCAGAGGCAGTAGAGAAATGTGTGCCCTGGGTAAGGGGTACTGAGACCTGACTTGAGCCAAATGGGAGTCTGGGCATCCTGCCTCAGGTCTTAGAAAGAGTTGGCTTGAGGATGGGGGTGTGGCAGAGCCATCTGGGAAGAGTAACTCGGTGCTAACGTGGCACTTGCTGTCAGCTGCTGGGCCTGTCATCTGCTCCGGGGAAAAAGCAAGCCGTGATGCTTGAAGGGCTGAAGGGATTCTCATGGACCCCCAGATGCCTCCTTCCAGCTGCCTTTCTAGTGGACTCCCTGCAGCTGCATCCCGGGACCAGCTTGGGGGAGCTTCCCTGATTGCATCAGCCAAGGCCAGAGCCCAAGGACTTGGCCATGGGGCTCAGGGCTCCTTCCTGTCTCAGACATCCTAGTACCAGGATGTTTTGACTATGGGTGTTGTCATGCTAGTAGACCAGGGTTTGAATCTACTTATCGGGTGGCCTTAGCAATTGCTTGCACACTTACAGTGACTGGGAGTTCACTACTTCTCAAGGTGGTCCCTTCCAGGGCAGAAAGTTATACCTGGTGCTGAGCTGAGATCTCCTTCCCTGTGGCTTGCCCTACCAATCCCAGCATTCCCCAGGTTTGCTCTGCTCCCCGCTCTACAGCCCCCGCCCCCTCAGCTACTTCCCCAGGCCCGCATCTCTGTCACTACCACCTACCTCCGCTGCAAGACACACACCTCCCTCTCCCATCCTTTTCCCAGTAGGTCTCAATGTCAGGGTGGGTCCATGGCCTCCTTGACAAGCTCCCAGGCTTCTGGCCCCACAGGCAGTGGGCCCACCGGCCCTTCAGCAGCCCTATTCCTTACATGACTCAGCAAGCTGGCAGCAAGCCAACCCCAAAGTCCCCTTCCCACATGCTGCTGCTATGGCTCGGCCCCCACCCCCACCCCAGAGTCTGTCCTCTCCCCAGTTGTGGAAGCCTGGTCTGGCCCAACATATGTCCGTGCTCAGTTTTATCGTGTCAGAATTGGCCTGTGGTCCCAGCCTGCTGGGGTCTGCGTCGTCCTAACTTCCTCATCCCACACATTAGCTGTTCCTCCCAGCTTCCTGTCCTCTGCAAATCCGATCCACATGCCGTCAGCGACCTTGGCCAAGCCATTGATAAAAATGACCAGGAAGGGGAGGCTGAAAGAAGAGGCCTGAATCACACCTCCAGGGACCCTCTCAGATTCTCTTCACCCAGGAGAGGGCCCTACCTGAGACAGTCACACCAAAAAGTCCCTGTCTGTTCCCAAAAGTTCCGGTGCCAACTGTCTCAACGTCACACAGACACACAGTGCCAGGAGTAGTCCCCTAAACCTGGTGAGGGGACCAGAGCTGGTCTAGGGGACTTGCTCTCATAGAACCCACAATGGGTGCTTATGGTCATCAAAGCTGACCTTTTAACAATCTCGTCTAGAATGGCACCTTGGCTTAACATCACACACTCCACAAACCTGCACCCAGACCAGGCCCTGGGCTCTGAGGACCTGGAGCTGAGCCAGACCCAGCCCTTCCCTGGAGGAGCTCAGTCTGCTGGGGCAGGCAGTCTCAGAAGAGACCATGACATCGTAGAGCGAATGCTAATAACTGGAATGTATCGAATATTTATGATGTACCAGAGACTGTGCTAAATCTAGATTAACCCTCACCACCAACCATCATTACCTCCATTTTATCCTCCTGTGGAAACTGAGGCACACAGAGGTTCGGGAACTTGACGAGGGCTCCCCTATTGAGGAATACGTGTAGGAGCAGGTGGGAGCTGCCTTGCCTAGCCAGGTGGGCCCAGAGGGGCCTTCCGAGGGACGTGGTGCCTGAGTGGAGACTGGACAGATGAGCAGCAGTAGGAGGGGACAGGGAAGGGAAGCAGGAAGGGCAGGAGCAAGGGGACTGGGTTCCTTTGGAATTCCCTGCTTCACCAGCACTCATTCCCTGCCAGCTTCCCAGTTGGGCCCTGGAGATTCAGAGGGGGGCATACCAGCAGAGTGCCCTCTAACTAACTGGGAAGCACAGGGTTCCCTAGGGCGAAGGGTAACATGGCACCTCAAGGTAGGCTTCCCAGAAGAAAGGACATCTAGGCTGGCCATGGAAAGGGCAAGTGGAAATGAGTGGGGTTGGGGAAATGTGTGTGGGGAGGAGGGTGGGGAGATAGAAAGTTCCAGGCTGAAGGAATAACCGTGCAAAGGTGGTTCACGGAGCAGCATGGAGACCAGGGTGGCTGGAGCGCGTGGGTGAGGAGCTGGAGACTGAGTCAGGCCACAGGACCCAAGGCCACGGAGGAGTGTGCAAAGTTCTGAGGGCAGTGGGGAGCCGCCGAGGACTTCAAATGGGGTGGGGGTGGGGGGCAGCCAACAGTCCCGGTACTCTGTCCACTGTCCCCAGTGCAGTGCACGGCAACAATGGTGCCTCCCGAGGTTAGGTGGGTATGATACCCACCTCAGCGGCTGGTTTTAGAACCAGTGACGGGTCAGTAAACAGCCTCTTTCACCCTCCATGAGGAGCCCGGCAGCTGCTGCTTCCCTTCCCCCACCCTTGCACGTGGAGCAGTTACCAGATTGAAACAGGCTGGGCCTTTGAGCCCAGCCTGCTCCCCAATCACTGCACTCTCTTGATCCACAATCCCTGGGCTCTGGGTGGTGGCCATATGGCTCAAGAGGGAGTCCCAGAGCTCTCAGCTCCCTGAGGCTCTTCCCCAGGGCCCTGAAGGACCGCGGGGGCTCCTAGGAGCACCCAGCCAGAGACTGGGAGTAGGTGAGGCAAGGTTACCTATTCTCTCCTCACCATAAATTACGTGCCAGTAGGGGCACTGGAGGGCATCCTCACAGAACCTCCCACACTCAGTCTAGAAGCCTTGATCGAACAGGTGGCTGGCCATCTAGGCTCCACTTGGATACCTCCAAAGATGGGGAGCTCACCACCACAATTCCATCATGGGACAAGTCATCAACTCTGAGAGTTGAACTATAGAGGCATGACATGGACTCTATGACATTAGAATCATGGTCAGCCAAACTAGAAGACACTTTTTTTCCACAGGAGTTAAAGCAGCTCCCTATCGTGGAGAGGCACTGGGATCAGGGGAAGCCCCACAGGGTTCTGAATCAGAAACCCCTGTTCCAGTCTTGACTCCACAGCTTCCCAGCTGGGTGGCTTGGCCAATTATTTCCCCCTCCCTGAGATCGATTTTCCTTCTCTGTAACTTCAGCTGCATAGTCCAATAAGGCAGCCACTAGTCATAAGTGGGTTACTGAACCCTCAAAATGTGGCTACTGCAGCTGAGGAACTTAACTTTTTTAAGAAATTATTTTAAATTAAAAATTTAACACCAGAAGCAGTATAAACATTTTTATATTGATTATGTTTTGAAATGATAATATTTTGGATAGACTGGGTTAAAGTATTAAAATGAATTTCACAAAAAAATGAATTTCACTTATTTTTTTCACTTTTTACAATGGGACCACTAGGAAATTTAAAATTTTACATTTGTGGCCTAGCTTGTAATTCCGTAGGGCAGTGCCGACTTAGAATGTTTTTTAAGAATCAAATGAGGTGGATGTTCAGGTGTTTGGGGACATTTAAGGTCCAGATTATGGTTTCTGTGGCTGCCAGGTACTCAAGGGATTGTGTTTTCCATCACACGAGCAAGACATGCTCATTCTAGAAATAACAGAGAACGTGGATAAACAGTACAACAGAACGAAAATCACCCATAATCCCACCACCCAAAGATAGCTACTGTAAACTCTCTCTTGCTAGTGTTTTTTTCTGTGCATATCCACGTGAGTCCCTGCAAGCAACCCTACCCCAGCTTACAGGTTCTCAGAAAGGTCACTTTAACAGCTTGGCCCAAAAGTGTGGGACCTCGAGGAGCCCCCACTTGTCAAAGGCGGGACCTTGAACTTGCTTTCTTGTTACCCTGAGTCCCTGGAGTGGCCCCTGCGCACGTGGGGCCCAGGCTTTCCTCGTACTGAGCTCCCAGTCTTCTTGGCCTCCACCAACGCCCGCGGTCACCAACCTGGCTGCTCCGTCATCAGCCGTTGCCAGCGGCTCCCTCCCCGCGAGCTCCCGCCTTCGCTACTCACTTCCCTCTCCAGCCAGTAGGAAAACCCTTCCCATTTTGGGGGCTCCACAGGGGAACTGCTTGGAGCCCAGGTGATGGAATTCTTTCCATGTTTTCCATCAGCCCTCTCCTTTCCAGAGCCCCTGAGTCCAGGGCCTCTCTTGCTGTATCTAGAACCTACTCTCCCTCCCTTCCCACATCCTGGTCAGTCCCTGAGTGGGAACCACCTCTGTGTTAGACCTCTTCTTCTTCGGGTGGCCTTCGGAGGGGCCCTTTGTCCCTTTCTGCAATGTGTTACGGACACGCTTCTCAAGCACAATCCCTCAAGCATGTCTGCGCAGGTGCATCTGGACTGCAAACCTGGAGAAGGGTCTCTGTCACAGGAGGCTCTAGGGCTCCCTGCAGAGCTACGGACTAGCTCAGACCTTGCTTTCTCCACCTAACCTTCAATAGGAACATCTTTCCAATGACACCATTGCTTCTAATGGTTGCTCAGAACGCCACTGTGTGGGTATGCTGTAATTTTTAATCTCATTCTGCATTGACGAACTAGGGGCCTGAGTCCCGGTCTAATTCTGCATTGACATTCTTAGGTCCGTCCTAGATGTTTGCTCTCACAAATACCACTTTAGGGTCCCTCCCAGTACACTTCACTTAGATGTTCTCAAATCTGACAAGTTCTCCCTTTTCAGACAGCCAGCCAATTCTGTGGGATGAATTGTACTGGACCCCACTTTTCCCTCTGTCCCCCTTGGCCTGGCACTCAAGGCCACCCCCACTCCTGAGCACAGTCTGTCTGTCCCCCATATCACCGTTCCTCAAATTTGACCTAAGCTCTGACCACACTGTGCCCACACTTGCCAGCCTCCCTGTTGGCTACTGCTGCCTCATTGCCTGGGATATCTGCTCCATCTCCAAAACCTCCTCATCCTCCCAAGAACCACTCATATGCCCCCTCCTCCAGGAAGCCCTTCCTGACTCTCCTAGCTAGAAGTGACCCCTCCCTCCTCTGAGTAAAGAGAGCACCTCCTTGTCCTCTTGCCTATGAGACTAATGCAGCCACCCTGGCTCCTGGTTCCTTGAGTCCACTTGTCCTGGAGTGTCTCACTCTGTCTCCTTCCTGCCCTCCTGCCACACCAGAAGCAGCTTGAGGCTGGGGAGAGATTCTGATTTCTTTCTGTGGACACAGGGCATGGCACGGAGTGGGCATGCACTAAAGGTTTGAATAAATACATGAAGGGAAGAGGACAGGCCTGGAGTTGGGGCCTGCGTTCTGGTCCAGCTGCTGCTAGTGTTCCATGTGACCTCAGGCAGGTCGTCCTCTCAGGGCCCCTGCTTCCCTGTGAGCTGAAGCAGTTGGACTTCGCTGTAGGGAATTCTGTTGCGGTCAGCAGGCTGTTTGGCCCTCGGCTGATGTGCTGGCCCCAGGCTGGGGATAATCTCTCTGGTGCATAATAATTGCAGGGCAGCCCCCCATTTCCCTTGCCTGCACAATCCCATTATGAGCCCTTCAGGATTTATGTCTGAGACCCACCGTAAGCCCATCACTAACATATGGCATACTGGCAGACAAGGGATGAACAGAGATTGTAAATATTCATTCATTCATTCCTTCATTCAGCAAGGTGCTACCAAGCTACACTCAGCTGGGTCGCGTGCCTGACTCTGTGGACCCATCACTGAACAGACCCAGACCCCGGCCCAGTCCCGGAGGAACTTCCAGTAAACAGTCAGCAACTCAGTGAGGTGGGGGCTGGGGCAAAGGACAGCACAGGGCCTGTGGAAGCCCAGAGAAGGAGCCTTTGCCCCAGCCAGTGGTCAGGGAAGGCTTCCTGGAGGAGGGGACCCTTCAACTGTGTCTTAACAGAGCAAGGAAGCGCAGGGCACTCATGCAGCAGCTACAGCCTGAAGTGGGGAGAAGCTTACAAGTGCTCAGCTTGATGCTGGGTGCCGCTTGAGTGTAGCCTAATGATAAGAGGAGCAGGATGGGGAAGGATTATCCACTCTTGTTTACATGATCAACACCAGACAAATACTTCCTTTATCTGAAAGAATGAAAGGACTTTGGGGAAAAATCCTTTTGGCAGCAAAGCAAAGCACAAGCATCTCCTTAACTAATCTCTCAACCCCACCCCACCAACAGCCAAGAGAAGAGTAACTCTGAGCTGACCTGCACAGGTAGGCCCAGAGCCCAGGGCAAGGCAGGGTCAGGAGCCACGGGGAGAGAGACCCACAAGCCCCCTCAACACAACCTCCCAAGACGATGACGAAGGGGAATCTGGGCTCAGGTGGTAACCTAAGATGGCCATAGGGTGGCACCTCTCCAAGAAACCACGGCCCCATTTCAGAGATGGGATCCTGAGGCCCAAAGATGTCCCACAAGCAGTGGGCAGAGCCAGGACTAGGACCCAGCCTAGGCTCTAACTCACTCCCATCATTAGTTCATTCAGCAAGCCTGCAGCAACCCCCTGCCTGATAGCAGCCCTGAGAGCTCACACTCCACATGCACTGGGGACCCACAGAGAAGTCACACCTGCCCCTCTCCTCTCAGGTCCTCAGTCTGATGAAAGAGACAGACAGGGATAGCCAGGGTCATGACAGAGGCCAAGGACTGTCCCTGGGGAGAGGCAGGTAGTCCAAGATGTCACCAGAGTGGTGACATTGAGCTTGGTCTTACCTAGTGAGTAGCACTTTGGCCGAGTGGAGGAACCTGGTAATGACACCAGACAAAGGAAACAGCACTGGCAAGGGCCTGGAGGCGTGCAAGGGTGTGGCGGCTGCCCACAGGCGTGGACCAGAGAACAGAGCAAGAAACCAGGCTAGAGGGACCACAGGACTGGATTGCTGGGGGAGGGGGGGGGGGCACATGCCTGCACGGTCCCTCCAGCTCTGTGAGGGTGCTGGGCACAGCCAGGAGGGGTGTGAGTGGGTCCGCCTGAGTGGCCCCCCACCCCCAGACCCTGACCCACATCGCTCTCCCAGCTTGATGTCCGGCCTCGCTTCCCTGGATGCCAAGACCTCCAGCCGCCTGGGCATCCTCACCGTGGCGTACTACCTGTGGACCACCTTCATGGCAGTCATCGTGGGCATCATCATGGTCTCCATCATTCACCCAGGCGGGGTGGCCCAGAAGGAGACGACAGAGCAGAGCAGGAAGGCCATTATGAGCTCTGCCGATGCCCTGCTGGACCTCATCCGGTAACTCTCACCCTGACCCCCTGCTTGGGAACGCCATACCTGGGCTGGGGCCACTGGCTCCACAGGCCTGGCCCCCCATGTCTGCCAGAGGCTGCATAGGGCACGGGGAGGGAGTGCCCAGGGTCTGCTCTTGATTTCGTGTGGCCACAGAAGCCACACAAACAGCTCAGCCCCTGTGCAGCCCGCTGGGTTCACACTGCACTGTGTGCGTCCGTCAGACTGGGAGCACCTTGAGGGCAGGACGGGGGTATGGGAGCCACGGCCCAGCACGCAGCCGGGCACCAGGGAGGTTATCAGTGGCTGTTTGCTGACTGAGCTTGCTTGTGTGCACCCAGCCTCTACTGAGGAAGGCCAGCAGTCACTCCCCTCACCACCTGTTCCTTCTTGGTCCTCTTCTTGCAGACAAGGGAGTGAGGCTCAAAGAGATGAAGTGACTTTTCCAGGGTCGTCCCGTGGGCAGGTCACGGAGCCAGGATTTTTGCCCGGTGGTGCCCCTGCCTGAGCCACGTGGACACTGCTAACCATGTGTGTCAGGGACCTGAGCCCTCCTCCCAGAAAGAGCTGTAGACCCAGCGATACATCCAAGTCCAAACCCCTTTACCCAAGACTCCATGCAGGCCATGCACCTCCTCTCCATCACTCATTCACCCCTGCCAATGCCCGCCCTGTGCCAGGCACTCAAGCCTGGCCCTAGTTCCAGAGGAGAGAAAGGTTCACGAACAGACAGCAACAGCATGGGGGCGGGAGTCACGATGAGGGAGGCAGGGGCTGTAGGTGAGAGCGAAGAGCAGGTTCAAGGGAGGCAAAGGGAGGGATGAGTGGCAGGACCAGGGAGCCAGGAGCCCATTCTTCGTGAAGGCAAAGGTGTGCAAAGGTCCTGAGCTGAGAGGGAAAGTGTGGGGAGATGTCCTCACCTGCTCAGCGTGACTGGGGCACGGGGGGAGGTGGGGTTGGGGTGGGGACAGTCACTGCTGGAGAAGCAAAGGGGTCCTATCATGAAGGACAATGTAACCCAGGCTGAAAGCTGTGTTTTATCCTAAAGGCCGCCGGAAATGGGCTTAAAACACAGAAGCGGCTTGATCCCATTCAAAAGGCTCGCTCTGCTGCAGTGGGGGTGAATGGGGGGTGAGGGGAGAAGGGGAGGACAGGCAGGGAGAGGGACACGGTGGTGGCCCTGGGCACAGGGAGAGGGCAGACTGAAGGCTGCTCGGAAGGTAAAACCAGCAGGAGCCGCGCAGGGCAGAAAGGAGGAGGGCATGGAGGAGGGGGCGGTGCTGATCCCAATGGCCTGAACACCCAGCTGTGTGGTCACCGAGTCGCAGGACAATGCTAGAGCAGGTGTGGACCTCCTGGGGAAGGTGTCCACTGGTGGTTGGCTGGTGGATCTGAGTCTTCGGGAGAGTCTGAGCTGGAGACGGAGGGTGGCAGGCTGCCCATCTTGGGCCGCCATCTCTCATATCCTGCATCCACTTTGTTGGCAAATTCTGTCAGCTCTACCTTCAAAATAACATCCCTTGTCCCTTCTGTCCTCCTGTGCCACTCTCACATCTCCCAGACCTCTATCACATCTCACTAGAGGGTCCAACCGGGTCACCCTGCTTTCTCTCTGCTTCCCTCCAGTCTGGTCTCAGCGCAGCAGCCAGAGGGATCCTGCTCATGACTCAGCACATGTCAACACACTCCGCAATGTTCCCTCTGGCCTATAGGCCCTTCCTGCTTGATGCGCCACCACATACCCACGGCCCGTGAGCTCTGCTCCAACTCTCCCTCCCCTCCCTCCAGCCCTGTGGGCCTCCTGCCAGTCCCCAAATATCTGTGAGATCCCGTCCTGGTGCCTTGTCCTCATCGCAGCCTCTGCCTGGCTGGACCTTCCTGTAGGGGTTAATGGCTCCTCCCCTCACTCCACCTCTGCTCCGTGTCCCCTCCTAACCTCGGTCACACTCTCGCCTCATAGACTTTATTACTACCTGACATCCCGTGTGTTTGTTTCTTCTTGTGACTCTATCAGGGCATAAGATGTTCCACGAGGGCTAGATTGTTACAAATCCGTTCCCTGCTGCACCCTGGAGCCGAGAACAGCTCTGAGGAGGGGCTCAGTGTTTGCTGAAGGCAGACACGGGATACAGGGTCACTGACGGGGTTGGGGTCTGAGCCAGGAGAGGAGACTCACTGGCACAGGGAGAAGGTGCCACGCATGTGGCCCCGAGGCCCGGGCTAAGCCTTGGCCCCCACCACATTAGAGGTTTGCGTAGAGCTGACAGAGCAGGAGCAAGCAGAGGGCCAGGAGGGGAACCAGGAGAGCAGATATCCTAGAGGCCAAGGGAAGAATAATTTCGAGAAGCTTCATTTCTAAGATCCATTATTTCTAAGATTTGGTGGCTATGATTCATCCTTTCTTGGATTCTATGATTTGAAACAGCCTTTCCTCGTGGTGGAAGGAGCTGGTGCTCGGGAGTCCCTGCCCTCCCCACCAGGGCCTCCCCTGCTGAGGGGCTGAGGGCTCTGGATCAGACACACGTGTCAGAGTCAAATGTTCCAGGAGTGGCTCCTGCTCTTGGTTGCTTTTCACGTGGTGAAAATTGATCCTTCTGGTTTGAGGCTTTTCCCCAGTTGCTCTCAACCCCAAGGCAAGTTGTTTTGCAAAGCTGAGTGGTTTGACATCACGGTCACTGTTTCTTAGTCAGAGAGTGGGGCAGCAGAGAGCGGTCATATGCTTCCGGGGACAGGGAACCATTACCTTGGGGATGGGAGGTCTTGTCACAACTCTGTCAATAAGACACAGTGTGGCCCTTCCAGGACTCAGTTTCCCCAGCAGTTTTCAAGATCCCTTCTAGCTCTGTGGTTCTGAAGCACAAAGGCCTACACACCAGTGAGGAAGCTGCAGGACTTGAGCAGAAGCTCCTGGAGGTGGGTTCTGGGAGATGAGGTTGGGAGGACAGTACAGAATCCAACCTTGAAGACCTTGAAGCCAGGCTGAAAGGTTGGCTGTTATGCTTTAGAAACAGGAAGCTGGTGAGTTTGGGAAGGACGGACTAGAGCAGGGCAGAGTGGTCAAGATGTGACTGGAGGCAGGGGGATGCCCTGTTTGGGGTGCAGTCACTTCCACTCCATTCACCCCCCCTTTATAAGGCACCTGCTCTGGGTGAAGACATTGTGCTGAGAGGGGCAAAGGCAAGTCCTGCACCAGGCTGTCCTATTAGGACAGACAGAGAAGAAGAATGCACTGGACACTCTCAGAGATTCTTCTTAGATGCTCTGACATTCTGAGAGGCTGTGCAGAAAATGAGAACACCAGGACGGAGGGGGCCCCCTCACCCTCGCTGGCCCAGAGCAGGTGGCCAGCGAGCATTGATATCTGAGAACAGGGACAGCCAGGCAGGGAACTGGGAAGTGTGGGCAGGTGTGACACAGGAAAAGTCACAAAGACGTAGGGGACAAGAGAGCACAGGAATAAGGCCGGCGGCACACCTCAGGGCCGGGAAGATAGCCATCTCTCAAAGATGATTCCAGAGGAACACAACAGGCCATTTCCCTGGACAACTCACAGAGACATGAATTCATTTCCCAAGGCTCCAGAAAACCGACGTCTGCTCAGAGTTCAGCCTCACAGAAAACCACCCAAACAAGTGGATGCTAATCAGAGCTGGGCCCCTTCTTTTTTTTTTCCAATCTTATTAAAACACCAGAGAGATGAAGTAATGACTTGGCTCTATTTATAGCTCCCAGTCACCCTCTCAGGGATTGGATGCAGCTCTCAGGAGCCGTGCTTGGGAAGGAACAACCCCCACCTGGGAGGTTGAGGACATGGGATTAAGGGCAAATTTGGAATGTCACAGTCTTGGGACATAGAATAGGTAAAAAGAGGAGGTGGCAGGCTGTGGCCCTGCCCCAAGCGCATGTGGGAAGGCCCAGGCCGGAGGGTGCCTGTACTTGATGTACATGGCTATTAATGTCTCTCAAGCACATTCCATGTGCATTTATGCCACCGGGAGCCTGGAAAGTCTTTCCATGGGCATTCAAAGTCAAAAGAAAATGTACATTTTCCTGTTTAATAATCAAAAGTGTAATTCTTCATTAAAGTTTGCAGGATGAGTTCATCGATTTAATAATCAAAAGTGTAATTCTTCATTAAAGTTTGCAGGATGAGTTCATCGATTATGAGTATGAGCACGTGTATTAGTTAGGAGTTGCCGTTGGAGGGTAATTAGAGAAACCCAGAGCAGCAGAGGCTGAACTGCGGTAAAGGCTCATTTTCTCCCAAATCAGCAGTCCAGCGGTGGGCAGCTTGTGGGCAGCAGGATCCCATGCTCCCCCCACCATGTTTACCACTTGGCTTTTGTCATCAGTTATCTCATGGTCCAAGAAGGCTGCTGAAGCTCTAGCTATTACATCCATGTTCCAGGCAGAAGGAAGACAGTTGGAGGAAAGGACCAAAGGGTCCTGGCTGAGTGGGCACCTTTTCAAGAGTTTTCTGAAAGCACCACCCAATGACTCCCACTTCATCTCCTGGGCCACCCTTTGGTGAGCGAGGCTGGGAAATGGGGTTTGACGGCAGAGCCCCACTGGTCCCGTGACATGCCGGGGTTCCTGTTGGTAAGGAAGGAGAGAATGGAGACTGGGTAGGCAACTAGCTATCCTGGCCACAACCCACGTTTTAAATTATTCTAGTTTTCAAGGAGATTGTAAAGAAATGTACATCCTAGGTGTAAGATTCATTTGGTCTCCTACAATTTGAATGTTCCTACTTTCTGCTCAGGCTAAAGCAGCCTTCCCTCGAAGTTTCATTAGAAAACCACCGTGTAAGTCCCTCGCACCTCGGGGGTTCTGCCCAGGAGAGATTTTCAAACTCTGAAGCACTGGCACAGCCTGGGCGTCCTCCCCTCCGGTCACGAGGGCCCAGTGGACTGGCGCCTTCTGGCAGCTGTGTGCCTGGTGAGGCCCCAGCACTAACCCTGACTTCGGTGCTTCGGATCTGCTTGATGTAAAAAGCCCTTGCAGGCAGCTACTATTCTGGTGGCAGGAATCTGCTTATAACTAGGGGGGGAAAAGCCTCATTTGAGTTTCTGAGATCCCAGGCCCTGACCCCTGCCTGCTTCTTCTCTCTCTTGTGACAAAGTTGAAATTAGTGGGAAAAGTCAGGACCACTCTTTCTGCCTTGCTAGCTCATTCTAAGCTCTCTTCCTCCTGCCATATGCTTACACTGAAGCATATTTTAGCAACAGTGGAAAAAAAAATATATAGTCCACTTTCCAACAGTGGCTGCTGGGGTGTAAGGTTAAGAAATAAAGCACACCCGAGGCGCCTGGGTGGCTCAGTCAGTTGGGTGTCTGCCTTCGGCTCGGGTCATGATCCCAGGGTCCTGGGATCAAGCCCCGCTCAGTGGGGAGTCTGCTTCTCCTCTCCCTCTGCCTCTCCCCTCAGCTTGTGCTCTCTCTTTCACTCACTCTCTCTCTCAAATAAATAAAATCCTTTAAAAAAAAGAAAAAAAGAAAGGACGCACACCCATACTCTTGTATGTAATTCCAGGTACATATGAGCAGAGTCTCGAAAGAGAAGAGATTTGCCAAGAGCAAGGGTGAGTGGTAAGGCCAGTCCATGTGGCCTGTCTGAGGAAATGCAAGCACATGAACAAAAACCTTTGTTAGCATCTCTGATTTAGAAAAGATTCTTAGAAGCGGATTGTAAAGACAAAGGTGCAATGGTTTTAAGACCCTCAATAGGAATTGCAAATTTCCTTACAGAAAGGTTGCTGCCAGAATAGGGAGGGAGGGGGAGAGGCGTGTCCCCAAACCTCCTCAGCATTGAGTATTGTCCTCTAAAACTCCTATACCAGTTTGAGAGGGGAAAATGTCTAATTTATCAATGAAGCTGAACACTTAAAAGCTTTTTTAGGCTACTACGGTCCTTCTTTTGCAAGGTGAGTTGCCTGGCCATGACTTTCAATCATTTTTCTATTGAGGTACTAATGTTTCTGTGGTCCAATTATTTATGCAGCAAACATATACTGAGCGCCTGTTATGTGCCAGGCAGTCTTCCAGTCGCTGGGGACACAGCAGGGAACAAAACAGAGATCCCTGCCTTCCAGGAAGCTGATGTTCTGGGGAGAAGAGACAGTGAAGGAGGAGACAAAGACAAGATTTATAAAAGCTCTTTAAAGATTTAGGATGTTAACACTTCGTCACATAGTTTTCCTAGTTTATCATTTGCTTTATAATTTTATTTGTATTTGAATCCATCTTAGAGAACTTCTCAATTTATTTAGCTTTTTATTTTAGCATAATTTCAAGCTTACAGAAAAGTTGCAAACATAGGAGAGAGTTCCCACATACCTTTCCCCCAGCCTTCCCTGATGTTAGCAACATACGTAACGATGGCACAGATGTCGAAACTAAGAAATTAAATTAGTATAACACTATTAACTAAATTACAGACCTTGCTTGGATTTCACTAGTTTTTCCACTAATGTCTTTTTTTCTGCTCCCAAATCCAACCCAGGATACTGTGCTGCACTTAGGACATTCTTAATTTCTATATAGTAAAATCTATTGATTTTTTTAATTGCTCATTTTTTTTTCTTAGTCAGTCCTTCCCTGTTCTGAGATCTGAAAAATACTAACCTGTATTTTCTTCTAGCTTTTTATGGTTTCATTTTAAAAATTATTTCTTTAACCTATCTGGAATTTATTTTGATGCAAAGTATAAATAGGGATCTAACTTTTTATTTAAATAGTTGGTTTGGCTGCATAATACTCTATTACAAATCCTTCCTTTCCTCACTGATCTGTGAAGTGACTTTTATCAAAAATGAAGTACTTAGGGGTGCCTGGGTGGCTCAGTTGTTAAGCGTCATTATCCCAGGATCCTGGGATCAAGCCCCGCATCAGGTTCCCTGCTCCGCGGGAAGCCTGCTTCTCCCTCTCCCACTCCCCCTGCTTGTGTTCCCTCTCTCGCTGTGTCTCCCTGTGTCAAATAAATAAATAAAATCTTTCCAAAAAAAAAATGAAGGACTTAGAGGCGCCTGGCTGGCTCAGTGGGAAAAGCGTGGGACTCTTGATCTCGGGGTCATGGGTTGGAGCCCCACGTTGGGTGTAGATATTACTAAAACAAATAAATACACTTTATTTTTTTTTAAATAAGGTACTTAAGATGTACTAGGTTCTGGGTGCCTGGGTGGCTCAGTTGGTTAAGCAACTGCCTTCGGCTCAGGTCGTGATCCTGGAGTCCCGGGATCGAGTCCCGCATCGGGCTCCCTGCTCGGCAGGGAGTCTGCTTCTCCCTCTGATCCTCCTCCCTCTCATGCTCTCTGTCTCTTATTCTCTCTCTCTCTCAAATAAATAAATAAAATCTTAAAAAAAAAAAAAAAGATGTACTAGGTTCTGTTTCTGGGCTACATGTTCTGTTCTCTTGATTTTTCTGTTGGCAGCTGTATCAATAGTGTACTTTAAATTCTATCTTTATAGTATATGTTCATATCCAGTAGGACAAGACCCCTCCTCCCTCAGCTTTATGAAGATCATGTCAATAAGAATTATGATCTATGTGCCAGGTCCTGTATTGGGCGCCACAGAGAAGCTAGGAACCACTGAGGCAGACCCGTGAGCCAGTGCCACCCTGCAGTACTCTGGAGCATGGGTGACCCCCGAGGAAAGAACCGCAGAGTCGGCCAGTAATCAGAGAAGGCGTGGCCTCTGACTGACTGGAGTAGGAGCTAGCCAGGGAAGCAGGAGGGACATTGTAGGCAGAAGGAACAGTGTGGACCAAGGCCTGGGTGCTGGGGAAGTATGCAGTGTCTCTATGGAACCGTATGCAATTGGTGTTGGGAGTTTTGAGTACTGGGGATTGGGAGGTGGGGTGGGGGGTAGGGGTGGCTGGTGGTAGGAAGACGTGAGGTGGGGGTGGGATAGGTCATGGAAGGCCTTGAGGTGTTCAGATGGGAGGGAGGTGGGCTAGGTCATGGAAGGCCCTGAGGTGTTCAGATGACCCCATGGGCCCTCCTGTCCTGGGCTCTGGAATTCTTCAGTTACTGACTCTCTTCCCAGGAACATGTTCCCAGCCAACCTGGTGGAAGCCACATTCAAACAGGTGAGTGGGTCCTGGGGCGAGGGGCGAGGGAGCAGGGCAGGTAGGGCCAGCCTGGGCCAGGCTGGGAGGTGTCAGGTTTACCCAGCAAGTCTCCCTGCCTCCCACACTGTTCCTTCTGGAGAGGAGGGGAGGTGGGGCGATCAAGATCCTTAGAGCCTCCCCTGGCCACACCCCTGCCCAGGGTTCCAGCTTCTTAGGAAGAGAACTGACAGGGTAGGGGGAAGCAGCCATGCTCTAGGTTCACCCCCGTGCTCGCACACCCCCAATCACTGGATCCTCACAGTAACCCTGGGCTCAGTGCACCCACCCCCTGTCCCAGATGAGGAAACCTAGGCTAGAGGCTTGGAAGGATTAAAGGACCTGCCCAAAGTTATACAGCTAGTAAATGACAGTGCTGGTCAGGAAACCCAGGCCTCTCTGGCGTCTAAGTCTGTGTTCTTTTTCTTTTTAAAATAACCCCTTTTCCCTGTAGTTAAGAACAATAATCATGTTCAGTATAAAATATTAGGAAAACACTAAAATACAAAGCAGAAAATAAAAATCTTCTCTTGTTCTAGGACCAAGCAACAGTGGTAGTAGTTGTGACACATCTAGTCTTTTTTCTCTGCATAAATATGTTTTGGAAAACAAAATTGGGGTAATAGTACATAGACGGTGTGTATCTTGCTTTTTCCCCAAGCTCATTATAGCATAAGCATTTGCCCTGGTTACTAAGTGTTTCTTTAAAATACACTATTTGCGGTTATACAAGAGCCCATGGTGGGGCCATCCCTCATTTCGGTGGGCCTCGAGGTTGTTTTCAAAGTTTTTTCTTTTTGGAAATGATGGTAAATATCTTGGTGCGCCAATTTTTGTCTGCCCTTCTAATAATTTCTAATCCTTTTCCCCTCATAAAATGTTGGCTGGTTGGTTGACGATCCAGCAAGCATTTCCTGACTCCCTTGCCTGGGCTGGGCCCTGCATTGGGACTGAGGACACAAAGGAGGAGGTTGAGGGTTGGAGAGGAGGCTCGAAAATAAGGAGCTGTGAAACCTTGAGCTAATCACTGTATCTTTCCTAATCTCCTGGGCCTTTATCTATGAAATGAGCCAGAGAATGACCGGCCCTCAGTGCTAGGCAAGGGAGTTCTGATTTTATTCCAATAGTGATGGGGAATTACTGAAGGCGTGAGAGAGAAAGAATGAATGTTGCTCTACCTTATACCTACCCAGAATGCCCTTTCTCTTTTGGCAAACTCCTACCCATCCTTCAAGGCCCAACTCAAATGTCCCCTTCTTTGGGAAGCTGTCTGACCCCTGAGGCAAAGTAAGTCACTCCCTCCCCAATGCTGTCAGAGCAGAACTCATGTCTGGTTCATCTTTTTGTCCCTGGCGTCCACCACAGCATGTTCAGTGTTGGAATGATGATGATGGTGGTGGTGGCATGATAACAGCGGTTAACGGTAAAGACCACGTAAGGCATGCCACACGCCAGGCACAGTTGAAACACTTCACGTATGTTGTCTCATTTAATCTAACGAGCTAGATACGACTGTGACCCCCATTTTACAGATAAAGAAACTGAAGCATGGAAACTTGAGGTCCCATATATTTCCTGAGTGGTTCCCCCACCCCAACCCCCAGAAGACCTACCTCATTGACACTGTGGTGTTGGGAGGAGAGAGGACTCCCTTGTTTGGGCTCCTAGTGCCCAAGGAATGAGAGGGGAAGACCCAAGGAGGGCAGAGGAGGAAAGGGAGCCGGCTTGGAGGCTCAGTTCCTCCCAGCTGGATCCTCTTCTCCTCAAAAAGGCTTGGGGCAAGCTGAACTTTTTCAAAGAGAAGGTCCAAGTTTCCATCAGTGGCAGGCAGGGCTGGCTGGCTGTTAGGTGGATGGAAAATGGATGCTTGGAAGGCATAGGTAGGTGAATGGAAAATTATCTGGGTAGAAGAAGAGATGCGTAGTGAGGGACCCAGATGGGTGCGATGACGCAGAGAAGGAAGAAGAGGGAGGAAGGGGTGGAGAGACGCATGGCTAGGGAGTGTGTCCATGGATAAAGGACTCTCAATTTTCTTTTTGGTAAAATCTTGGTAATACTCCTGCCTACCTCACAGGGTTATTGTCAGTCAAATAGTTCTTGACTGCATCCAAATGTGCCTCCAAGATGTTACTGTTGTTGTTGATGACATTAAGAACAGTATTTGGCCCTGACTCCTTCCTGGTTGGGGTGTCGCCCACTAGTACCGCACCAAGACCACCCCCGTTGTCAAATCCCCCAAGATGGCATGGGAGGAGACCCCTCCTCGGCAGATCCTCGTCTATGGGGTCCAGGAAGAGAATGGCTCTCGTGTTCAGAACTTCGCCCTGGACCTGACCCCGCCACCTGAGGTTGTTTACAAGTCAGAGCCTGATACCATCGACGGCATGAACGTGCTGGGCATTGTCATCTTCTCTGCCACCATGGGTATGTGCTGCCCGCCCCACACTGGCAGTGGCCTGCAGCCAGTCCCCTTTGCATCCATCCTTCTCTGCCACCCTGTACCCACTAATGTGAATAACCTGGAGTCTCCTATCTTCCAGGTGGCTCCTTTCTTTCCTAGCCAGTGGAGTGGCTTAAGTCCCCATTCTATGACCGAGGGGTGTCTCCTGTCCTCCCCCCGGCTAGAGCTGGTGTTCCTCACTTGGAATTCTCCCTCCCTGGGTGCTAGTCAGCCTCCAGGGGTGTCAGCTTGCCCTTAAAGAGGACCATCCCTGGGCCCCCCTCCTAGCAGCCTGTTCCATTTTACCGAGGTCTGGGGTTCCTGGGGCAGGGTGGGGGGACATTACACTAAAGAACAGGAAAAATCTAAAACTCTCAGTCATTACCATTTCTCTAAAGCCCTTATTTCTCCCCTCCATCTCCCACAGGGGCTTCTCACTGGCCAACTGTCTCCTCAGACATGTCTGTGTCATTTCTCAGGGCCCACAGTTGCTTCCTGACCACATCCTCCCCTTTGCTACTCTTCTCTGGGAGGTGCCAAGATCCCCAGCCATAGGCTATTACCATGAAGCCAGTGAAGCTTAACTTGCAAAGGTCTTTCTGTACCTTGTTTGCGTGCGCATTTGCGCGCACACACACTATTATTTTTCCGTAGAGAGGGCCCCAAACTGTATAAGCGTCAGATCCCACAAAACCTATGGGTCTGCCTCTGCCAGCAACACCCAACACACACACAAAACCCTTGTCCTTCGTGGGGACAAGCCATCCAGAACAATCTAGCTCGTCAATCCCCATCTTGTCCTTCGAGACCGTGTCAGAGGTCATTGTCTTATTCTAAAATTGGCATCAACCTCCCTCTTCACCCTGGCCAAGGGCCTGGGAGGGCCTCTCCCACCTCCCTGACTTCTCCACAAGGCTTTCTCACCATCCTCTGGTCGCTCACGCAGGGCATCCGGGCGCCATTTTCTGCCTCGGCCTCTGCCCCAGCCCGCATCCAAATCTGTCAGGTCTACCCCTGAAGCCTCTCTCCGAGCCTGCATTTCCCTCTGCCCTCTGCCACCCCGCGGTTCAGGGCCACCGTCACCTCTCACCTGGCTTCTGCACGAGCCTCCTGAAGAGTCCCTGTCCTGGTGTGTCCTCCTCACCGGCTCGTAAAGTCCTGCAAAAAGCCTCCAGGGGCTCTCCAGTGCACTTGGAGAGGGGGCCCGAGCGCTGCACGCGGCCTGCGGAGCCCCGCGTGCCCGGCGCAGCTGCCCCCCACTCCTCCGCTCCCGCGCTCTCCCCGCCCCCCCCGCTCCCGGCCGCCACGCTGCTTTCCGGTTTCCGGAAGCCGCCTCCCCAAAGCCCTTCCCACTTCCTGCCAACTGGCCGCTCCGGCCCCTTCCTCTCCCCTGCGCCTTTCTCATCCTTGCCGGGGCTGGGGGGACGGAGGTCTGCCTACGCATCATGTCCTCGGGAAAGTCTTACCGACCCCCCCCGACCGATCGGGTGCCCCATGTTCCTCCTTAAACGTCTGACCGACTGCAGTTATGTATCTGTTTCTGTTGAAGTCGCACAGAAGCAGGTGTGAGCTCCATGCAGGCAGAGATGGGCCTGGCTTGTTCCCCACTTATCCCCACAGCCCACCGCCCGGACTGGCAAGAGCAGGCACGCGGGAAAATCTGTTGGAGAGATGGGTGGATGGCTGGGTGAATGGATGGGCCATGGTGGGTGAGGAAGCTCTTAACGTCTTGGCTCGACGGGCAGGCGCGCAGAGGGGCCAGGGCCTCAAGGACGCGAGTGTGTGACAAGATGGTGCTTGGAAGCGCTTGCAGCACATCTGGCAATCGGTCCTCAGTGGACACTCCTCCTCCTCCTCCCCAGCCGCCTCTCTTAGAGGTGCGAACTTATAAACAGGACGTCTGCTGGCGGAGCGGAAGAAACCCGGGGACCCTTGGACTCCGTTCCCTAAGTGTTGACTGGACGTGTGTAACTGTCCACGTGTCAGTGCGTCCGTGTTTGTATATGTGGGCCCAAGTGTGTATGCAGATCTGTGTATGTGTGTCCAAGTCAGCGTGTGCCTGGGCCCGTGCGTGCATCTGTGCGGGCCCACCTCAGGGTGTGCCTGCTTCTGTGTGTGCCCACATCTGAGTGTGAGCGAGCCACACTTGCCCAGCTGCTCCGAATGGTCCCCTCAACACAGCCTCCTCTCCCCATCTCTCCCCTGGTGTTGGGACGTGGCTGATGCTGAGGCCTCATTAGCCTTGACTATTGCAGGAGGCCTCCTGCCACACGCTGGGTCCTGTGCACACCAGCACCCAGCCAGCCAGAGCCCTTAGGTGCCTCCAGGGAAATCTAAGTGGAGACTGACTCAGGCAGGAAGAGGCTGAGGAGCAACAGAGCTGGCAGGGGACCTGGGTCTCAGCTCAGCCAGGCTTCCACAGGCCAGATGGGAGGGGCTAGGCTGTGTCACCTCCAGCTTGGGCCTCTCCTAATCACAGCAGCAGGGTCCCGTGTTATCCCATCACTGCGTGGTAGCTGTTCTGTGGACCGTGTGGGCTCAGGGCTTCTGGGGCAGGTAAAGGGCCTCTCTCTGGAGTCCCGTAGGCCAGGGTTCAAATCCCGGCCCTGCTTCTCCCTGGCTGACCCAGGTGGTGAGCCCCTCCAAGCACATTGCCAGCAAGCTTTCCAAGGGCAGCCACAGAGTGCTTTGCTCTCTATTTTTGTGTCACCAGAAGGGACAGCTGTCCCTTGTCCATGTTTCAGGAGTGGCCTGATGGTGCTCACTTGCATACAGCTCACCTGAAAGAGTACATAAATGAACACCCCCCAAGGAAGGGAATAACAGGGGCTCCAGGAAAGGCTTTATTAGTCATTCCTTTGTTCCTTCCGTCATTAGGTGCTTATCGTTGAGCACCTACAATGTGCCAGCGAAGGAAATACTGTTGTTGCCCTCATGGAGCTAACCTTCTGCTGGAGGAGACGAGAAGAAACAACGGACAACTGGAAAATAATAGTTATAAGTTGTAATAGTGATATAAAGGGATCAGAAAGAGATGAGACAGAGAAGAACAAACCGGGAGTATGCCGAGGGGAGTGGGGACAGGTCCCCAGGCCGCATGCGGAGCCAGGTGGACAGGGTTTCGGGCACCAGGACCTATGTGGGCAAAGGCCCTGTGGCAGTGAGAAGCTTGATGTATTCTAGAAACATAAGGAAGGCCAGTGATGCCAGAGCATAGTGAGAAGGTGAAAAGCAGGGCCAGATGGAGGTGGGAGGTGTAGACAGGTCAGACTGACTGGGGCCTGAAGCAGTGGGGAACTTGGTGATGGTCTGAGGGCTCAGGAAGCCAGTGAGGGGTGTATGGCAGGGAGCATTTTTATGGATGAGCAAGGAGGACGAGACAAGAGCCCTGGTCCAGTGGTGGCGGCCGAGAAGGAAGGGAAAGGGTTGGGGGAAGCGCTGGTGCATCAAAGGCTGCTGGGAAGTCGGCCAAGGCCCGCGGGCTCCATGCGCATGTGGCTCTGTCCGCGCTTCGCCACCAGCCTGTGCCAGCACGTGATGATGTCGTGCGCAACTGCATCTCAATCTGTGGCATGCGTGATATGCTTGTGTGTCCCTGTCCCCGCAGGCATCATGCTGGGCCGCATGGGTGACAGTGGAACCCCTCTAGTCAGCTTTTGCCAGTGCCTCAATGAGTCTGTCATGAAGATTGTGGCGGTGGCTGTGTGGTAAGCCTCATGGGGGGACAGGAGCGTCCTCTTCTACCTTCACCCGCCCCCTTCCAGCCCTGCCCTGTGCAGATGGAGGGACACCCATGGTCCCTTCCTCTGCTTTCCTAGCGTAAGCAGAAAGCTGCACAGGAGGCTCAGCCCTGGCCTGGGGCCTCCAGAGCTACACATTTTCCCCTGGATTCCACTCCTTCCCCCACCCCCTCACCCCCCGCCAGCCCTGACCAGGCCTCATTCCAGCCCTGAGCCTGCCATTTCTGGCCTGGTCAGGCCCACTGGAGGAAAGTTACAAGCTAAGCATAGCCCTGCTCTCCTGGCCCAGTTTCCCCATCACATGGAGTCTCATCAGCTCAGCTTTTGAAGAAGAGGAACACTGGAAGCGAGAACCAGCTGCCCCTCTTGGTTCAGAGCTCAGGCCTTAGGAATCTTCTAGTCCAACCAGTTCAGATGGGGAAATGCAGAGGCTTGCCCAACGTCATGCATGAAGTTCGTGGCACTGCTGGGTTGAAACAAGGGCCTGCTGAGGGCAGGGCACTCCTCAAAGGCCTAGATGGGAAGGCACAGAGGCCAGAGGTCTTGCAGGGCTGGGCTGGTTGGGGGCCGGGGTATGAATGACGCCATGTGCCCTGGTACTGCATCGCTGCCTGGGACCCTTACCTGCCTGGCCCTGAGCTGGCTGCCCGTCCCCACCCTGCCCCCAGGTACTTCCCCTTCGGCATTGTGTTCCTCATCGCCGGCAAGATCCTGGAGATGGATGACCCCACGGCTGTCAGAAAGAAGCTGGGCTTCTATGCGGTCACTGTGGTGTGTGGGCTGGTGGTCCACGGCCTCTTCATCCTGCCCCTGCTCTACTTCTTCATTACCAAAAAGAACCCCATTGTCTTCATCCGCGGTGTCCTCCAGGCCCTGCTCATCGCACTAGCCACCTCCTCCAGGTAGCCCCAGGTGATGCGCAGGGTGGGGAGAGGGCAATGGCTGAATCTGTTCCTCTGTCCCGCCGTCATGTGTCCATAGCCATAGAACCTGGAAAGTTTCAGTGTGGCCCACTTCACAAACTTGGGGGGGAGCTATGGTAATGAGACCAATTTTTGAAACGGATTGCTTGAGGTCCCACCTGCCCGCCGAATGGCAGGAAGCCCTTATTGCCTCTTAACGCCTTCCCCTCCCCTACTGCCCGAGTCTCTAAGGCCCACTCAGTCCATGTGGGGGTGGCTTCTGCACACCTGGGGTCGGGACAGCTGACAAGGGATGAATCTGCAATTGCTCTCACCTTTCTCTGCCACACCATGCTTCTGTTGGAGTCGGGCCCTGTGTTGTTTAGGGACTTGGCCCATCTGCAGCCACGGGGACATCCTGGCTGGATGCCCTGTCACACCTGGACAGTGTCACTAGCCAGTGGGGATTTGAATCACGGTTCCATCACCCACTGGCTGTGTGGCTGTGGGCAAGTCACTTGAGCTCCCTGGGCATCAATTTCCTCACATACAAATTGGGGGTTATGGTGGCCTCTGCCTCAGAGGGTTGCCATGGGAATGAGTGGAGATAAGCCACCAAAGGGCAAGAAGGCTGGTCTGGGCTAGATGAAGTGGCACCTGCTCTCCAGGATCCCAGCCCACAGCAGAGTGCGGAAGAGCCCAGGGGGTTGGAGTCATGCAAACCCAGGTGTCTTTCAAGGGGGAGAAAGTGCTCTATACACCAGGAAGAAAGGGTGGTTCTCCCCATAGCAGATGTCCAAGCTCCATATGAAGGAAGTCACCTGAGCTCAGGCCCGTGTCTCTCTGGAGCCAAAGCCTGGCTCTTCCTTCCAGCCCTTATTGCCTTCTCTTCTCTGGGCCTCACCCTTCCAATCTGTCAAATGGGAATGAAGGCCACCACCGAGATCCTTCCTCGGCAGCCACATGACCCCATCCTTGGCAGCCAAAGCACCTCAGGAAGAACTGAGGAGAAGCAGAGCCCCAGGGAGGAGAAGCCCCAGAAGCCTCATCCAGGAACCTCCACACAGGGCAGGGCCAGGAGGTGGAAAGGAAAGACAAAGTCCCAAGTGGCTGCTGGCCCCCAGGCCACAGGCCAAGCCCTGCTGAAGCCAGCAGCCCTGGGCCATCTCCTGCTTGGCAGGAGCCACAGCCTTGGGCCCAGCACACTGGGAAGTGGACATGGGCCCCCAGGCAGTGGCCTGTGGTAGAGGAAGGGCACTGGGGCCACCCCAACCTGCGTTTTTGTCTCAGCACGGCCACCAGGAGCTTCGCTGCAAACACCGTAATAGTGATCGGAGTGGTTTCTGCCATCTGAGTGCTTGCCAAGTGCCAGACACTGTTCAAAGCGCTTTCTCGTTGAACCACCCTCATAGCGCTGTAATCTAGGTATCACGTGGGACAGGGAGACTAAGGCATGCACAGGTTGAGGAACCTGCCAGAGCCACTCGGCTAGTGGGAGGCTGGGATCGAAATCCAGCAAGTCCAGCCACTTCTTCTAAGCATGGCACAGCGCTGTGACTCTGGGTCAGCCCCTCGTCCCCTCTGGGCTTCTGTTTTTTCATCTGTAAAACAGCCTCAAAACCCCTCCCTCACAGGAAGCCAAGAGGATCGGATGAGCGTACGTAAAGCACAATGCCTGGCGCATAGTAGGTGCTCTGCTGGTGGCGACTCCTTTCCCAACCTGTGTGGTTGGTGGGGATCTCTCAGGCGCTAGGCCTGGGCGGGCCTGGCTGGGCCACTGATCTCACACTCCCCAAGGATGCCACTTGAGACCACTGCAAAGCTCTTTCAGCCTCTTCTCACCGGTGATGAGTAGGCTGCGTGGGGTGGGGACAAGATTCCTGTCCCTGGCAGGGGAAGAGGGTGGTAGGCAGACACTGACCCCTCTGCCCACAGCTCAGCCACACTGCCCATCACCTTCAAGTGCCTGCTGGAAAACAACCACATTGACCGGCGCATTGCCCGCTTTGTGCTGCCTGTGGGCGCCACCATCAACATGGACGGCACCGCACTCTACGAGGCTGTGGCCGCCATCTTCATTGCCCAGGTCAACAATTATGAGCTGGACTTCGGCCAGATCATCACCATCAGGTACATACCTGACACCCATACCCAGTGTAGATTGGCAGGCGGGGAGAGGAGGACACTGGAAGGGCCTTTAGGATTCTTGAGCTCCCAGATATGGTGGGGTTTCGGGGAAGAGGTTTGTTCCAGGCCACACAGCAAGTCAGTGCGGCGGCTGGATCGTGACCTGGCGTCTGTGACTCAGGGCTCCTTCCCCAGCGGCACCCTGCAGAGCAGGCTGGGAAGCTGAGGCCCAGAGGAGGGCCTGCAGTCTGGACACGCAGGGCAGCGAGGGGGCTGCAGGCAGGCACGGGGTGAGCAGAGGCGGGGGCCGGGACGAGGGACAGAGGGGGGACTGCTAGTGTGGCTGGAGCTGAGGGAAGGGTGCTGGTGTGAGGGGCAGAGGCCGTGGGGAAGGCCTTGCATGCCAGCCCGAGGGCACAAGTCTGGCCCTGGGAACCAGGCCCCAGAAGCAGGCTGGGCAGGGCTGTGTGGGGTCGACCTGAATCCCCGGGCAGCTTCCTGGAACCCTACCGAGGCAGTGGCTCCAGGGACAGGCTTCTCCACGAACTCCTCAGGAGTTTCTGCTGAGGCCAGGGATGGAGGCCACGGGGCCAGAGGACCTTGAGCCCCCACTGCGAGAACTTCCCGATGTGGCTTTCCCGACAAGCCCGGCCCCATATGGCTGTCCCCAGAGGCCCTGGCATCTGGCTTCCTTCTTGGAGCCAGGGCCCCAGCAGCGAGGCCTGCCCCTCCTGCTTCTCCCCCTGCTCTGCCCGCCCCTCCTGCAGCATCACGGCCACCGCGGCCAGCATCGGGGCGGCTGGCATCCCCCAGGCTGGGCTCGTCACCATGGTCATTGTGCTGACGTCCGTGGGACTGCCCACTGACGACATCACCCTCATCATCGCTGTCGACTGGGCTCTGTGAGTGGGGTTCGCCGGGCAGCCGGCGGGGCTGGGGGGTGGGCCGGGGAACTGCGGTGGTTTGGCCCAGCGGGGGTGCCGTGCTCACGGACACCAGCCCAGCCGGTGGCATAGTGTGTGGGGCCCAGTGTCCGAAAACGAAAATGTGCCCGCCCCTGTTCAAAACTGATAAAGAACTTCCAGAGGGTGGGAGCAGAGCCTTAGACCCAGCCCAGGCCCTTCTAAGCACGGGCACAGTCACGTGCCCAGGAAGCCAGCCATGCGTCAACCTGCTCTGGCATCGCCCCCGGTGGGGGGCGGGGGGGGCTGATAGGCTCAAGAGGACCCTTAAGGCACCTTGCTGCGGGCCCCAGCCTGGGCTGAGCGCCACCCACCACCAGCTCCTCCTACAGAAAAAAAGTGCCCGCCACTCAGTGCCCACTTTGGCTCACCAGGGACCGCTTCCGCACCATGATTAACGTGCTGGGTGATGCGCTGGCGGCCGGGATCATGGCCCACATCTGCCGGAAGGACTTTGCTCAGGAAACAGGCACTGAGGTGAGAGCAGTGCCTCCCTCCTGGCCTGGCCGCTGAGAGGGGGAGCTGTGGGTGGCGGGGGGGATGTTACCAGGTCCTCTCACCGGGGCCGACAGCCTTCTGCCCAGCCCTCCCTGCCTCTGGCCTCGGTCTCCTCCTCTGTACGGGGGTGACTGATTCCTCTAACGGCTGCTTGCTGAGCACTCACCACGGTGGTGGGTGGATCGTGGGAGGAACAGTGGGAACAACGGAAGATGAAGCCCTGGAGCCTGGACCCTCGCATGGAGGTGTGTTTGTCCTGCTGACAACAATGCAAATGTTTGTACGTCTGCACAGGGCTTCATGGTTTTCAGGGCTCCTTCAATAACTCTGTAGCAGGCTCTCCCACTCTGTGTGTGGGGGGGACAGGCAGGGGAGCCACCAACTCGCTCGCCAGACGGTGTGGCCCTCCTCCACTAAGACAGCCTCAGAAGGAAGCAGGACAGAGTGGAACTGGGGGCCCAGAGAGGGCCTGGGTGACCTACCAAGGTCCCACAGCACAGCTGTAGGAAAACCAATCACATGGTTTGCTCATTCAGTCCACCCCAGTGTCTAACCTCACTCCCTCCTGCTGCTACCAAGGCCTGTTTCCCCTCCCCAGAAACTGCCGCCCTGTGAGACCAAGCCGGTGAGCCTCCAGGAGATCGTGGCAACCCAGCAGAACGGCTGTGTGAAGAGCGTGGCTGAGGCCTCAGAGCTGACCCTGGGTCCCGCCTGTCCCCACCACATCCCCGTCCAGGTGGAGCAGGACGAGGAGTCAGCTGCCACCTGTCTGGACCACTGCACCATTGAGATTAGTGAGCTTGAGACCAATGTCTGAGCCTGCAGGGCCGCAGGGGCCAGGGGAGGCCTCCAGGGTTAGGCGCCAAGGGCAGGATCTCAACTCACCTATTTTTCTGAGCACCTGCCAGGAGCCAGGCTCACACACTCTTCCCACCCTTGAGAGGCCAGAATGAGCCCCACTTGTCGGACAGTGGAGTTCCGGAAAGGGAAAAACCGCAGGTGCGAGCCCCAGCTAGAGAATGATGAGCCGGCATGGCCTAAGCCCCGGCTGTGACATGTCTACTGTGATGGCCTAGGAGGGTGGCAGGCAGGCACTATATGGTCTCACTTTCTGGATCACACAGTTGAGGCTCTGTGAGCTGAAAACATTCACGCCAGGTCTCAGAGCCAATAATGTCAGGGCCAGGACTCTCACTCAAGTCTTTCAAGCCTTGGTCACTCCTTCCCAGAGAACGGGGGCCTGCAGGGCCAGACGCCAAGGGTTTCTGCCCCCCTCCGGGAGCTCTGAGCCACCACTACCTTCAGTTTATGAAGACATAACAACAGCCTGGTTCTGCCCCAGCTGTGTCCCTGCCCAGGCCCGTCCCCCTCCCTGCCCTGTAACACGTGGCCTCAGACAAAGCTCTCCCCGAGGACAGCCCAGCCCAAGGCTGAGGCCCACTGCCTACCGCGTGCCACAGCCCATTCCAGCAGTTGTCTCTCACAAAGCTCAGCTGACGTGGAGAGGGGATGTCTTCAGAAGAGCTGCAGGGACCCTTAGAGACATCTGGGCCAGCCTGCCACAGGATAGGTGGGCCAGCCAGGACTGGGGAGGCAGGCGTGATGGGATGCTTTGGTCAAGTTGCCCATGGAGCCCTGGGGTCAGCCCTCTACGCAAGCCTGTGTGACGAAGTGGTGTTAGATTTTCTACTCCTTTCTGTGTTTGCATATTCAGTGATAACTAAATAAAGGTATTTTGTTTTTTAAGTCTGTGGGCGTAGCGACCACACCCTGGCCAGCATTTCTTTATTGGGCTAATATAGGCTGTCTGCGATGCAGACTGGCCCGACTGGGCAGCCAATGTAGGGTCAGGCCTGTCCATGTAGCCAGAGGATAGACAGGTCTAGCTGGCCTGGCAGTGTGTGGACAGGCCTGTCTGAGCAGCCAGAGTGCAAACGAGCCTGTCCTGGGGACTGGAATGAAGCCAGGCCTGTCTGAGCTGTCATAGGTAGGAGGCAGAGTACGAATCAGCTTCCCCGGGGGCCTGTCTCCACAGCCAGTGTGGACAGACCACAGAGATCAGTCCCCACAAAAGAGACAAATTTCCTCAAATAGTCTGATCCCTTTAGTGAATGCTTTGCTTTCAGGAGCGGATGTGCCCAAAGACATTTCCAGACTCTCTCCCTCATTCTCCTCAGGCCCAGGGTGCCTCCAGAAAGCTCATAGGGGACACAGAAGAGCCCTGGCCACACGGCCTGTTCTGAATGGGCTCTGGGGAGAAGACGCAGCTCTAGGGTCTTGCACGGAGGAGCCCTGGAAGACACTAAAGCGGGGGGAGGGGATGGGCTTCCCAAAGTCACTCAGAGACTCAGGAGGGCACTTGCCCTCCCAGCCCCCACTCCTGAACTACTTCCTATCCTCCTCCCAGGGCCGCAGTCTGAGGAGTCCAAGAGGGGCCCTGATCCTAGGATCCCCGTTCCATTGCAGAGCCAGGGGCTGGAGGGTCTACCATGGGAACATCCTTCCTTCATTAAGGCCTAATCACCAAAGAGAGGTCAGAGGTCAAGCTATCAGTCATTCCCACAATCATGTGGACGGGCTAAAACATCCCTTCCTCGTGTCACATCTCTAAGGCCCTTTGAGCAGTGGAGCCTGGCCCACCCCAAGGCAGGAATCTGCTCTTCACTGGGCTCGACAGGAGCATGCTTACACACCTCCAGGAGCAGAAGGACACTGCTTCCTGGGCGTCTCATCCACGGTGGGGCGGCTCTGCTCGCCAGAGTTTCTGCTTTGCTCTAAGCCGGGTGCTGCCCCTCCCAGTTCCAGCTCTGGCCCTGCTGGGGCTGGTGGGAGCACTAGACATGTCCGTCATTTCTTCTCTGGGCAGGCCTGCAAAGACCTGGGCCCCCAAGGGACTCTGCTCTAGCTCGGGCCTGCCTCCAGGCTCCTTCCCATCCCAGCCGTCCTGGGGACACCCCCATCAGTGATGCCCGCTCAGGGCGCAGGCGGTCCTCCGGGTAAGCCTGAGTAGCCCAAAGCCAGGAGGTCCTCTGCTCAGATGCTCAGCCTCTGGAAGTGCAGAGTGAGCTCACAAGCCCCGTGTGGTGGTCCTGGCCGGACCTGCTGACCCCCACCAAGCAGACGGGCCACACATGCCTCAGGCCTCCTTACCTGTGACTAAACCCCACACCCCTGGACCTCGGCCCGTGAGATGACTTGTGGGCCCAACAACTAAACTCTGCGCCGACTCCTGCCGGTCTGGACAGGCCCTGAGGTGCTTGTGTCCTGCCCACCCCCAGCCGGGCGCCGGCCCAGCACCTGACAGGAAGCACACACAGACACGGCCACGGGCTGCCAGAAAGGGGTAATGCTTTTATATTAGTTTTTCTGTAACAAGAAAAATCAGCTTTGAGGTGGTTTTTTTTTTTTTTTTATCATTTTTTTCTTAAAAAGAATTCAAAGTCCAAAGGCACCCAGAACTCCCCCACAGGCCCGAAGAATAAAAAAGGTATGTCATCAGGGCAGCTGGGCCTTCCTCCTTGCTTAGCCCTGCCCCTCCACCTCACTCCTGCCCAAGGCCCCAGCCGCCCCGGGAGACTTTCCCTCTGGCCTCGGTGGGATTTCTGTCAAAGACGTGCCTGTGGCCGGCCGGGGCATGGCAGGGGGTGACCGCCCCAGCGGCTGGGGGCCAGGGCAGCAGTCCCAAAGGGGGGAACAGAAACATCAGCTTCTGTGAGTTCCAGAGGGTGGCGGGCCCCTGGCCACAGAGAGCTCCAAGATAACTCTGTCTTCTCCAGTGGACGGATGGACAGACGGCTGAGCAGATGGCAAGCTGTTCTGGCCAGTTCTGGCTGGGGCAAGAGGTGTTGGTGGCAGGGGCCACAGAGGGCTGTCTGCATGTGACTTGTGTGTGTGTGGGGGGGGGGTCCATGGTAAAGGGAGCAGGCACCCGTGGGAGCCAGGGCAGGGTCAGACCCTTCCCCGAGTCTGCATGAGTCAGGGGCATGATGGCGATGGAGGGCCTGGGAGGGGAGCGGAACTGTCCGGTGGGCGCCGTGCAGCCCGCAGTGTGTGGACGTGTCGTGGTGCCTGCCCATGTGTGGCTGAGGGCGCTGCCGGAACGGGTGGGGATGGGAGACTGAGTGCTCAGCCCGTGTGGTGGCGGCAGGCGGCTGGTGGGGGCGGCACTGGGTGCGTCTGTGAGCATGGCAGACCGGGGCTCACAGGGCACGGGTACGTGCTGCAGAAAGGGGTCCGGCGGTCCGCTGTCCTGCAGAACATGTGGAAGAGTCAGGGGCAGACCTGCCAGCTTTGGGAAGGTGGGCTCGAGCTAGGAGGCCCCCCTGAGGGGACTCTGGGAGGGCTAGGCCACTGCAGGCGGGAGGGGGAGTTGCTCCTGGGGGCCCAGAGCCAGCAGGCCACCCACTGGGCAGTGTTCTCGCTGACTGGCCAGGCCTGGTATCGACTCACCTCTGGCCACTCCCCAGGGCCCCTCCCAGGCAACCCCGCAACAGACCTGCCTGAGGCCAATGGCCTCCAGAGGGGACAGATTCTCCCCCACCCCAGGACTCCATAGCCCCCTCAGGAGGGCCAGAGCATCCTCATTGAACAGCTGGTCACCCCCCCTCCCTGATCCCCGGCTCTGCCTGAGGACAATTTCTAAACAGGAGGTCTCCACCTTCTCCCCTAGGGCCCCAGCAGCGGCGGAAGGGGACTCCCAAGCATGGCCTCTGGGCCTGTTCTCCAAGCTAGGATAACGACCCCATGCACATCCTTCTGTCAGCCCCACTTCCCTCTGTCATCCCCCCATGGGGTCCTCACCACCACCCTGCAGTCTCCTCTCTGACCCAAGCCCCTACTTCAAGTCAGTGTCCTAACAGTGGCCCAGGGGCCCCTTCCCATAGTCACAGCCTGACCCTGTGACCCTGCCAGCTCAGCTCATTCTGACCACAGCTCTCCTCCCGGCTACTCACCACACGGTGCCCACTCTCCAACGTCCCTCTCCAGAGGCCCTGCCCACCCCACTCTCCTGTCTACACCTCCTTCCCTTCCCAGACTGACCCCCGGGGTCCACGCTGCAGCCATTCGCTTGCCAGTACCCTCAACATCCTCGTTCCTTACCCTTCTGTCCCACACACCTGGCCAAAAACCCCGCCACGGATGGATCCAATGGCCCATCTTCTCCACACCCACCCCGGTCAGCCGAGCGCCTCCTGCTGCACAGAGAAAACAGAAGGCTGAAGGCATCGGGCTGATAGGACTGCGTGTCCAGCCACCAAGCCACTAAGCTGTGTGTGACTGCCGCCACTCGGTCCTCCGTCCCTCCTGCCAAAGCCGGTCCCTCCTACCGTCTCGACGGGGCTAGCTTCGCCCTGCTCTCCTCTGTCCCGTCTTTAACCCCCTCCTCCAGGCCAGCCCCTCCCCATCAGCGCTCCGACCGGCTCTGTTTCTGAACAGGGCAAGAGGTAATTGGAGCCCCGCCTGAACTCCACACCCCCGTCCCCCTGCCACCCTCTCATGTCCTCCCTTCACAGCCAAACTTCTTGAGAGAGGTGTGTACGCTCCGGGGGGGTCTCTCCTTGCCAGCTCCTTTCTCCACCCCCACTGCCCTTGAGGCCACGCCCCCACAAGGTCACAGCTGAGCTCCTCGTGGACAAATCTGGGGGGTCCTTGCTAGGGCTCCCTCCACCTGCCTCTCAGCAGCACTAACACGGCTGCTCTCTCCACAAGGGCCTTGTGCATGGGGACACAGTGTGTAGTCGCATGCACGCGTCCTCCACGCGTGTGCAAGCACGTACCTGTTCTGCGCCTGGGGATGTTCCATGGAGCACGTGCATGTGTGTCTGTGCGCACTATGCGTTCTGCAAGTGTGTGCTCTGTGCGAGCGTGTTTATTTTTTTTTTTAAGATTTTTAATTTTTTATTAGAGAGAGAGCGAGCACAAGCAGGGGGAGTGGCAGAGGGAGAGGGAGAAGCAGGCTCTGCACTGAGCAGGGAGCCCGATGCGGGACTCGATCCCAGGACCCCAGGATCATGACCCCAGCTGAAGGCAAACGCTTAGCCGTCTGAGCCAGCCAGGCGCCCCGAGTGTATGTGTGTCTAGACACACGTGTGAGCATGGGTACATGTGTGTGCACAATGTGCCCACGTGGGGTGTTTGTTTTGCACATGCACATAATCTCCCTCTGTCCTTGACTGCCTGGGGTTTTCCTACCTCCTTCCCTCCCTGCTTCCCTCCAGCCCCTTCTGCAGGCTCCCTTGCAGCTGGCCATGGCCTCACACTCTCTCCAAGCGAGCTCCCTGAGCCTCCTGTGGCCTCCGGACTATTTCTAGGCTGATGATGGCTGGACCCCCATCTCCAGCCTAGACCTCACTCTCCAGCCCCAGACCCGTATATGTGGCCCACCCCTGGGCAGCCGCCTGAGCACCGCCCCCCCCGGCCTATCTAACTCAACATTCCTACCACCTCAACAAATCTGCTCCCCCACTACTATCATCCTCCCGGGATTCCAAGCTAGGTCTGGGGGCTTGTCTTCTCCCTCACCTCATGCCCAGCAGGGCGACTCTGGCCTCTGGAGTCTGCTTGTCCCTCCCCAACCCCCTTCAGGCCATCTGCTTGTGTGCATCCTCACTGGCTCCCCCATCACCTGCGGCCTGGCTCACAGCAGTAGCCTTCTCCTGGGCACCCATATCCATTCCCTGCTTCCACCGTCCCAGCCCCTGCGCGTGTCCCATTGGGGTGCTCCTCACCTTGGAGAGTCCCCAGCCTGTGCCGGCCTCCCACAGGCTTGCCAGCCCATCACCCAGGGCCCATCCTGGGGTCAGGGACAGGACGCTGGTGGGGAGAGGTCAGTGCGCCCCCACACAGACCACCTACCTATGTCACATCCGGTTCACCCTGTCACTATCGCCTCTCCTCATCCTCTTCATCCTCGTCCTCCTCGTCTTCCTCATCTTCTTCCTCTTCCAACTGGCCCCGGTCCTTGGAAACGTCAGCAAACTCAAAGTTGCCTTCTATGTCCAAGACCTGCAGGTGCTTCAGCCTCCGGAAGGCACTTTCCACCACGGAGCCCACAGCCAGCTTGTTAAACCTGTGCGGGCCGCCATGTGCGGTCAGTGCCAGAGGCCTGACCCTCAGAGTCCCCACCCCCACCCACCCTAGCAGGGAAAGAGGGAACAAGATCTCCAGGAAGAGGGCACAGTAAGCACAAAAGGGGTGCAGGGCTGGGGGGGGGGGGCAGTGCTGAGAAGCAAGGTGCATCATGTAAGTCCCAGCTGTTCAGTGTGGCTATAGCTTGGAGCGGGGAGTGAGCCCAGACCCTGGGCCACTCATCTCCTACAGTGAGGGGCAGGCCCCCATCTGCAAATGCTCCAAGATTTGGGGGTGGCAGACGTGGGCGCCTCCTCTCTGCCTGGGATTACCTCCCTCTGGGATTAACCCCAAGGCCTGGGGCTCCAGGGTTGCCAGCCTAGAGTTGCCTGGTATGGCGTGGTACATAGGCAAGGCCATGGTCAAGCTGGGCCAGGGCGGCACTCGGGCTGAGGGGAGGCAGAGGCTGGGCTCTGATATCAGGCCCCTCAACTCTTTGTGCGTTAGTCCCCCACAGGAGCCAAGGCATAGGTCACACTCTACCCCAACCCAGCCACCAATCCCCTGCAGGTGCACATTCTGCCTTCTCGAATCTGCCCCTTCTCTCTGAGTCTGGGGGTTGGTTAGGTAGGATGTTGGGAAGAACCACCCTGACTCTGCTGTCCTGGGGAGTGGGCTCCCCCATTAAAATCATCCTAGGGGCGCCTGGGTGGCTCAGTCAGTTAAGCGCCAAACTCTTGATTTCGGCTCAGGTCAGGATCTCAGGGTCGTGAGATCGAGCCCCACCTCGGGCTCCATGCTGGAGCATGCTTAAGATTCTCTGTCTCCCTCTGTCCCTCTCCCCTCTCCCTCTGTCTCTTTAAAAAAATAAAATAAAATAAAAAATTCATTCTAAACCCCACAGCTCAGTGAGGACCTGAACATCTGCCATCTGAGGCCCAGGCTCAATCCTGGCCAGCTGCGGGCACAGCAGTCACCTGCACTCTCTGGTACCCCTTCCCGCCACAGTAACATCAATAACGCCCACACGCACAGCTTGTTAAAGTTTCTGAAGTCCTTTTACAAACCTATAAACCTCACCAGGCCCGGCCAGACTGTCCCCACCCTTGAGAGCTGATGAAACAGAGGCTGAGGGGGGTGTGGGATGTACCCAGGGTCACACAGCCAGTCAGTGAAGCCAGGCTTCGAACACTGATCTACCTGGGAGCTGTTCCCGGATGCCTCAGCGATCCTGCCAGAGCCAGGCTGACCCTGGGGGCCCTCCTACCTGAGAAAGATCCCTTTGAGGTTGGGTGTGGAGTCGAAGGCATTGGCGGGCACGGTGCTAATCTTGTTGTTCTGCAGGTACAGGTACTCGAGGGACTCGGGGAGCCCCTCGGGGATCTCTGTGAGTTGATTCCCAGCAATGTCCAGCAGCTGTATGAGTGACCAGGGGAGTCAAAGCACTTAATGTCTTGCAAAGATCCCACCCACCCCGTGGTCTATCTAAATCTTATGACAACCCTGTGAGGTGGGATCTAGAACTACCCCCATTTTCCAGGAGGTGAAACAGAGGCTCAGAGAGGTTAAGAGATCTGTCCAAGGCCACGCAGCCTGCATGAGGCTGGAACCCAAACCCTTGTTCTAACTATGTCCTACCCAGCTCCTTCTGCCTTTCCACATGAATTCACAGCCAAGATATCTGGGTGGCACAGTCCCTCCTCCTTGGCACGCCTGTCCCCCACATCAGACTGAAGGCCCCAGAAGGGCAGAGGCCAGGGATCCTCCAGTCTTTGAATATCCCCACACTGGTCCCAGATGAGGGTGGGGGTGGGGGTCCATACGGGTGGGGCTGCTCATTCACGGACTTCAGAGGCCATGTGGGCAGAGGCTGGGAGCAAGGCTTCGAGGCCCACAGTGACCCTGGCATGGCAGCCAGCCCTAGGCTGGTCAGTCTCGGGGTCGGCACATGCCTAGAGTGCTGGCCGCAGGTGGCCAGGGAAATGGGGTGGTTTTCCCAGGGCGGAGCAAACATGCGATGGCAGGAGACCTGGGCCCAGCGCCCTGCCTTCCCCCAGGCCATCAGCACATACTCGCTCCCACACACCTGGGCAGGTACAGGTGCTTCCATCCTCCCTGAGCTCCCTTCCTCACCCCGACAGGCTGAAGCTCAGGGTCAGGAAACTGGGGGCCATGAATCGAGATTCAAGATTCAAGGGGAAACAAGCTTTACACACCTTGGAGAGCCTCCCCGTCACCTCCCCTACCCAGCAGGAATCCCTGCTCCCCGCTGTGTTCCCGCCACGCAGCCCTGGCACCGCTTCATTCGTTCCAAACATCCTCAGTGCCCACGGGTGCCGGGGAAATGGAATCCACGGAGATGCTGCCTCTGCCATCGGAGGCTGCGGGCGGGGGTGGACCCAAAATCTGACGACAGCCGGTGGAACTGGGCTGTGTGGAGGGGACGCAGGGGAGGGGCCTGACCCAGCCTTGGGTCAGGGGAGCACAGCGACCGGCACAGGCGGGGGCTCTGAAGCAGGGGGAGCAGCTGCTTTAGAGAGATCCCACAGTGCGAGGAAGAACCCCCCACCAGACACCTCATCCCTGACTGAAGTCACCCAGGCCGCACCTGCCCATCACTGAGGGCTTCCTGAAGGAGGTGACACCTGGACTAAGTCCTAGGTATATCACAAGCTCTAGGAGGGTAGTGCCCCTCCATCTGTCTTACTCCCCACCAGGTCCTCAGTTCTAGAGCAGCTGTGTCTGCACATGGCGGAGGCCCGGGACAGGCTGCGGAACGGAGTGAGCAGGTGTTAGCAGGGTGCTGGGCTTCAGTGGCGGGGCCAGGAGGAATGACACCCAGTGTGCCTGGGAGACTAAGGAGCTTGGCTGGGAGCAGAAGCAGGCCAGCCCTGAAAACTGTGGCAAGGATTCTGCCTTGGGTTCTAAGAGCAATGGGGAGCCATGGGAGGGTTCTGAGCAGGACTGGAAGGTGAGCGTGTGTTTTTCAAGGTACCCACCAACTGCACATGGGATGTAGGAGTGGAGAGCTCCTACGGAGCTGGGGTCCAAGTGAGAAATGGGGGTGTCTTGGCTTGGAGTATGGGCAGTAGGGATGGAGAAAAGTGAGTTGAGAGGTGTGACAGTGGAAATGGCAGAGTTCAGTAAGAATGGGTGTTGGAGGGCAATGGCATGAAAAGGGGGTGTCAGGGGCAGCGTCCGGGCCTCCCGTGGGCACCCCCTCAGCGAGTTAGAAAATGGAGTAGGTGGAGCAGGTGTGGAGGAGAAGACGATGGGATCTGGGCTCCTGAGGACAATCCACGAGGGCCTGGCCCAGGCAGCTGGATCCCCGTGTCTGGCCCTCAGCAGGGCCATCTGGGTGAGGAGAGACCCCAGCTAGCTGTTCCTGCAGGGCCAGCTGCCTACCCCCAGCTCCCACCCCGATCCGCCCTCAGGGCTGAGTCCTGCCTGCCTGCCCCCTCCCACTCTGTGGGCTCGCCCCTGCACCCCCCTCAGATATGCTCATCATGACTGCTCTCCCAAAATACAGGTACTGTGAGCCTACCACACAGAGGTCCCCGGGGCCAGCAGTGACCACAACAGACTAAAATGCCTGCCCCTCATTCTAGCAGAAGGGCAGGCAACAAACAAGCAGACAGATGACCTAATGCCCAGAGGGATGAGGATTATGAAGAAAAACACAGCACAGGAGGGTGATAGCTGGTGAAGGAAGACCTCCCAAGCAGGTAACATTTGAGCAGAGCCCTGAGAGACAGGGAGGAGCAAGTTCGGGGGTGGGGGTGGGGGGTGGGGGGTGTACATTTGGGGAAGGGGTCCCCCCAACCCCCTGTAGTGCAGCAGAGTGGGGGCACTTCCTGACCTTGCAGCACCAAGGCCCTGCCTCCCAGATTTCTCTACTCAAGTTCCCTCTTGGTCCTCACTGAGTGGGGGCTTTCACTTACAGCCAGATACCCCAACTGACTCAGACTGCGGCCACAGCAGCCTTGCCCACTCAGCAGCCCCAGCATGCCTCAGGGAGCCTCCCCCAGCCCTCCGCACCGGGAGGTCAGCCTGCCTCCCAGACCTTGCGCCCTCCCGTCCCCCAAGCCCAGCCTTTCCCAGCCACCTGTTCCTGAGCCTTCAGATGGGTGAGCTTGACTCTCCAGTGCCCCCCGCACTGGCCCCACCGGCCCCTGGACCGTGGGCCTCCTACTGGCAGCCATGAACCCCCTTATCCCCACAGCCCTCCTGCAGGTGCTGAGCTCAGGCCGGCCATAGCAGCCGCTCGCTGCTGTGCCTGGCATGCCAGCCATACCGACTGCTTCCTGGTCTCGCCCCCACCCCACGGCCAGGCCCTCCCACCCACCCCTCAGCTGAGCCCACACGATGGGTGGGCGCGGGGCAGCCATGGCAGCCGCACCCCACCGGGCATGACCCAGCCCCTTTCCCCTCGCCCTTACCTGCAGATGGGCCAGGTCCGCCCAGGCCCGGGGGCCCAGGGCCCGGCTGCGCAGCCGGTTGCCGGTGAGGTAGAGCTCACGCAGCTGGGCCATGCCGGCCAGCGCCCCGCGTGCCAGGGCGGCCAGCTCGTTGCGCTTGACCTTCAGCACATGCACGTTGCGCGGCAGCCCGGGTGGCAAGGTGTGCAGCCGGTTACCGGACAGGTCCAGCGAGCGCAGCAGGCGCAGCTTGCGGAAGGCATCGCGGTGCACCTGCGGGCTGGTGATGCGGTTGTAGCTGAGGTTGAGCTCCTCCAGGAAGTAGGTGGTGGCGAAGTCGTCGCGGCCGATGCCGGTGATCTGGTTGTGCAGGATCATGAGCGTGCGCACGCGGCGGGGCAGGCCGCTGGGCACGCGCTCCAGCGCGTTGTTGTACAGGTGTACCGTGTGCAGCCGCTTAAGGCCCTGGAAGGCCCGAGGGTGGATGCCGCGCGCGTGCAGCTGGTTGCTGTGCAGCAGCAGGTACTCGAGGCTGCGGATGGGCGTCAGCACGTCTGCGTCCACGCTCCGGATGGCGTTCTTCTCCAGGTGCAGCAGCACCAGGCTGCGCGGCAGCCCCGCGGGGACCCGCGACAGGTTGTTGCTGGACAGATCGAGGTACTCCAGGCTGGAGAGCTTCCTGCGGGGGCGGGGGGGGGGGGAGGCGGGATGAGGATGGTTGGCGGGGGCCCACATGGTGCTTGTTGCCATCATTCCTCCCGAGGGAGACGGCAAGGGAATTGCGTCTAATTCATCCCAGCTCTGCCACTGGGTGACCCGCGAGGGGACCTCAGTCCTCTCCCGCCTCTCCTTGGGTTGATGCAACGCTGTATTGGTGTAGGAAGAATCTAGTGTGGCTTCTGACACAAAGGAGCTTCTCTGAAGACCAGTTGTTTAAGGCCTTCGGTAGCCACCCTGGGCCTAAAAAGTGAAAATTCATTTGCCTTCAACAAATACACTCCAGTCTCAACTTTGTACAAGAAGCCAGCCTCTGAAGATGCCTCACCGGAACTTTGGCGGGCTTTATCTACACACCACTCGTTCTCGGGGACAGAAATGTCAGCAGAGGCACAGCTCCAAAGTTCCTTCCCCAGGAAGCTGGCCAGGGACAGGTGGGGGGTGTGGGGGGAGTGTGCGCGAGGCCCTGGCTGCTGGGCCGGGGGAGCAGCGTCCCGGGTCCCGGGCTCCCACAGGGGGCCCAGGCGGGGCTTACCAGAAGGTTTCGTTGTCCAAGCCCTCGTCAGTCAGGTAGTTGTTCTGCAGGTACAGCTCACGCAGGTTGCTCAGCTCACTGAAGGCACCTGGTGGGATCTTCTCCAGCTTGTTGTTCTAAGGGGTGGGATGGTCGGGAGGGGAGCATGAGGGACAGCCAAAGGGTGAGGGCAGGGCCTTGGAATGAGATGTGGAGAGGGGCCTGGGGAGCCGTGGGAGGAGGGCCAGGCCTGGAAAATTCTGCATGTGATATCAACAGCCAGGTACCTGGGCTTCTGCCTCGTTCCCTACAGTGGACACTGTGCCCTCTGGCCTGTGCCCAGGGCCCCACAGCCTCACCACTGGGCCTAAGTGGACCGGGGCTCTTCCCCCATTGCAGGTCCCTACTCTTTTGCTGCCCCTCCCCACGCTCTCCCTCCCACCTTGAGATGCAGCTTATAGAGGGCAGGCGGCAGGTGCTTGGGCACATGGCGCAGGAAGTTGCTGGACAGAATGAGGATCTCGACGTTGCTAGAGCCGTTGAACATGTTGTCCGGCAGCCCGGCATCCGCCAGCTTGTTGTTGTGCAGGTACACGGACCTGGGGAATGAGGCACAGGTCCTCACCCACCCGGGCCCCCTCCACCAGCTCACCTGATGAGCCTTCAGACCCTGCCCAGGTTGGGCCTGGGCCCAGGGTACCCTCTTCCCATTTGAAGAACCTCAGACCCCTCCCAATCCAGTCCCCCCTACACAGCCAAGGAGACCAAGGACCCCCCTGAGGCTGCCGCACACCGCAGCGGCAGAAACAGGATTCTGGATCCCTGCCTGGCAACTCCACGCAGCTGGCTCTGAGTTCTGTGGGACTTCCCGCAGATGGGGACTGTCCCTGCCACCTCTTTGTCTCAAGTGTCCAGTACAGGGCCCAGCTCAGAGGAGGTGACCTCTCATTCATTCAGCAAATATATAGTGAGTGTCCCTATGTGCCAGGACTATTCTAGACTCTGAAGAGATAAGCCGTGGACACAACCAACAAGACCCTGCCATCATGCCGCTAACATACTAGAGGGAGCAAAGACCAGAAATAAGAGAAACAGAAGATATTTAAACATGGAAGATATAACTCATTCTTGCTGTGTGACCTCTCTTGGGCCTCAGCCTTCTCATTGGTGGGATGGGACCACACAGTGACCCTGGCTCCTTCAGGGGATGGAGCCAATCAAGTGAGGTGACAGATTACAGGACAGAAGCAGCACCGGGGGTTGTCAGTACCCCCTAGCACCACCCTGCCCTGTTCACACCCCTCTGCTAGGAGGCCTCACTCCTTCCAAAGCAGCTCTCAGTGAGAGCCAGCTCTACCTGTTGGAAGATGCTTCCTTCCCCCATGGGCTGCGGAAGGAGGGAAAAACCCTCACCCAGCTCCCCACAATTCCGCAGACATCACTCTCTGATCTTGTCTCCTGGACAGATTCCTCTCAGCCTTCAGATCCTGCAGCCCAGGCACCCCCACCACAGCGCTGGGCCAGGGGCATCCTGCCAGCTGCCCAGCATGCCCCTCCTCCAGGGACTGTCTGGGCTTTCTCCGCCTTGCTCAGGGCTGGGAGTGTCTGTCTCAGCTCCTCCCTCTTCCCCAGCCGGAGCCCAGGGCCCCATCTGACTTCTCACCTCAGGTTTGGCTTCTGGCCGAAAGTGAGCCCGTAGATCTTGGTGAGATAGTTGGCAGCGAAGTCCACACTGATCAGGGTATTTGGCAGGAACCGGGGTGCCAAGGTCAGCTAGAAAGGGAAGAGTTGGGGCAGAAAGACCAATGAAGGGCAGAGGCGGACTCTGGGTCCCCTCCAATTTGTCACCTGCTTGCAACCAGAGCCATCTTTCTCAACTGGAAACCCATCCCACTCCCCTGATAACGCAAAAACAGAACCTCCATGGCTCCCTCCAGCCCTGAACATGGAAAGCCCTCTAGGCCTGGAGAGTCCTCCTGGTCTCTCCCCTCATTGCTCCCCAGCACAGACTCTCTGTACAGCCACCATGAGGACCCACACTCCTCCAGACAAACCCCCCCCACACCCCAGTATCTAGCCTTCATTCATTCAACAGTAGGCCCTGAGTCTGCAACATTGCAGGCCTGGTTCCAGGTGCTGGACATGCCCTGGGGAACAAAACAGAGAAGTGTCCCCATCCCCACCCCCTAAAGCTTGCATCTTAGTGGAGAAGACAAGGAACAAGGAACAAAAGTATCGGAGAGTGGTAACACGTTAAAACAGACTGAAGACAGAACAACTGGGTTGGGTGCGCAGGGAACAGGGGACACTTAAGGCATGAAGGCACCACTAATGCCATCTGAGGGAAGAGCACCCATGGCGGCAGGGGCAGCGAGGGCAGGCCCCACGTGGGGGCTGCCACGTCCAGGGGCTGGAGTAGAGGGAGTGAGGGGGAACAGGAGTTGTGAGGCCCACACACAGGCCCTCCAACCACAGGCCACGGGGAGAAGTGTGGCTTTCATTCCGGGTGGAAAGTGAAGCCTTGGGAGTGTTTGAGCTGGGGAAGGGGGGATGAAGGGGCTGGTGGACCAGGGCCAGAGGGGAGCCGAGGGCTCACAGTGGGACTGGGTGTGGGTGAGCAATGCACCCTGGATTTGTGGCTCAGACTCAGATTTTTTTTTTTTTAAGATTTTATTTATTTATTTGAGAGAGACAATGAGATAGAGAGAGCATGAGAGGGGATAGGGTCAGAGGGAGAAGCAGACTCCCCGCTGAGCAGGGAGCCCAACGCGGGACTCGATCCCAGGACTCCAGGATCATGACCTGAGCCGAAGGCAGTCGCTTAACCAACTGAGCCACCCAGGCGCCCCTCAGACTCAGATTTGAGTCTTGAGTGGGAGGAGTAGAAAGGGCTGGGGACGGCCATTGCATATGGCCAGGATGCAGATGGGTGCTAAAGCCCGGGGAGGGGATGGGTCTCCTCGAGAGAGCTCAGAGAGAAGGGGCCAAGACAGAGCCCTGGGACACACCAACTGTTTTGAAGTCGAGTGCCTTTGTGCCTCTTCTCCTGCCGTCTCTTCAGCAGTGCCTCCCCCTTAGGGCCCCTGGCCAAAATCCTGTTACCCTTCATGGCCCTGCTCAAATGACACCTCCTCCAAGAAGCGCTCCAAGTACCCCCTCGCTAGTGGGGATGAGCTGTCACCCCCTACACTTCCGTAAGGCCTGGGCCTCTGTTTTCATTATCTGGCCACTCTGATGCCCTGCATTAAAGTGTGGGGTCCTACCAGGACCATGTCTGAGCAGCAAGGGGGACCCAGTGGCCACCCTCGAAAAGGCCCTAGTGAAAGTTCCCTGAGCTCAGCCCCAGACACCAGGGGGCCCCTTACCTTGTTATTGGCCAAGTACAGGTAATTGAGGTTGGTCAGATGTTCAAAAGCCTCCTCCGGGAGCCCTTCAAAGGACAGGCATCGGTCAGAGCCCTGGATGAAGGAGATGCTACAGGGGAGCACGCCACCACCAACCCCTGCAATGCCCACCCCACTGGCCAGGACGGGGGAGGGCTCCCCTTGAGACAGGCTGGGTTCCGATCCCTTCCCAACCAGTCCCTGCAGGCCTGCCCAGCCCTCTCTTCTTTCCCCTTGCTCACAGGGGCCCCGGCTGAGAGGAGCAGGCGGAAAGGGCTCAGAAATGACCAGTCCTTCACCTGCTCGGGGCCACCCTGGCAGGAATGGGTCTTCATCAGGTCAAGCCACAGGGCAGAGGACCCAGCCCCACCCTTCCCCACCAGGAAGGAGTGCTCCCCTCAGGTGTCAGAGACCCTCCTGACACCCAGCTGCAGGGCAGGGTGGGGCAGGGGCCCCTGCACCTCCCCACCACCTGGCCCAGCCCTGTCCCAAGCTGGCAGATGTGATGTCAGGACTTGGCTGTCGCTGGGAGGCCAGCCAAACTGGCCCTTCTCCAGTCCTTAGGCCAGCCTCTGACACTCAGTTCCGGGCTCCCAGCCCCTGGAGATGCTGGGACTCAGCCAAGTATCTAAGGAGAGGGAACAGTTACATAAACTGCGCGGCATCCCTCCGGGGACGGCCCTGCTGTCGCTGAGTAGAGTGACGGCCACCGAGAGCGTTCAGCACCATGAAGGATGCTGCTGTGTTAACTGCTAGGAGCAACGAAGTAGTTATAGTAGTTACCCTATTAGCTACCCTATAAGCTCAGCTATGAATTAAAAAACACAAAGAAAAAAAAAGCCTAGATTGGACTATGGGGAGGGTTGTTCAACTGTATAAACTTCTCAAAACTCATCAAACTGTACTTTCACGTTGGGTAAACATTACAGTATATAAGTTAGACCTCAATAAAGTGGTTTTTTAAAAAGTGGAAAGAAGGCCCCTGGGTGGCTCAGTTGGTTGAGCAACTGCCTTCGGCTCAGGTCATGATCCCGGAGTCCCTGGATCGAGTCCCACATTGGGCTCCCTGCTCGGCAGGGAGTCTGCTTGTCCCTCTGACCCTCCCCCCTCTCATGTGCTCTCTCTCATTCCCTCTCACACAAATAAATGAATAAAATCTTTAAAAAAAAAAAAAAGTGGAAAGAAATATACCAAAACATCAATACTGATGAACTCTGCGTGGCAGAATTATGAGTGGGTTTTTTCTTTTCCATTTCATTTTTTACATTTCCAAATTTTCTATTATAATCATAAATTATTTTCCTATCAGAAAAAAAATAACCTTTTACAAATCGAGGATTCTACAGCTCTTTGATTCTAAAGGCCTTCTGTGAATCTACCTACGAGCTCTGACAAAGGCCCTGGGAATCAAAGCTTCTTTGATTCTCAGGCACACCCGGGAGCGGGGGGGGGGTGCCTCTCAGGCAACCTCGGGGAGCCCCTTGCCCATGGGGCCTTGCTGCCAGCCCAGCCCTGCTGTTTTCCATATCCCAGGATCTGCGGGGTGGAGCTCTTCCCATGGGCACCAGTGCCCCACCTGGTGTCCCCGGCCCGGGCTATGGGGCATCCCTCACCTCGGGAAGTCAGGCGATTGTTCTGGAGGTTCAGAGTTTCCAGCCGATGCAACCTGGAGAGCTCCCCGGGGTAGATCTTCTCCAGCTGGTTGTTCTGGGGGTTGGGGGACAGGGGTGGTGAGGAGGCCTCACTAGAGGCCCAGGGCTCCTGCCTCAGTAGAGACTCACCCCCACCCCAGTCCCAGGAGCCAGTCCCTCGGTTGGGCACCTCCGTTGGGGTTCACCCCCATGCAGACAGACCTGGGGCTGGGCCAGACCTGGGCCTGAGCATGGGAGGCCCAGCAGTGACCACAACAGACATGCAGGTCTCACCTTCTAGGAGCCCATACATGGGCATCTAGAGACAGTTCAAACTTGGAGTGCATCTCCCCTCCGGACCTGCTCCTTTCATGTTCCTACTTGGTGACAGGCATCCCAGCCCGTTCTCCCCACCCCAAGCCAGAAAAGACTTTGGGTTCCCTTTCTTGATGGGGAAAAACCTGTGGTCCTCACTCCTTTTGGAATACTTTACCACCTCCTCCAGAAGCCTTCCTGAATTGGATTGGGGCCTGGATTAGGAGCTGCTCTGGGCCCCGCTGCACTAGTCCTCTGTCTCCATCTGTTACCTTTACCTGTTTAGATCCCTGTCTCCCCACCAGACTGTCCAAGCCCTCCCTCCGTGCCCAGCACCTGACCTGGCACCAGAGGGGTAGAGCAGGTACCCAGGAGACATTTTATGAATAAATGAGTGAATGAACCAACAGCGAGTGTTGCTTTAACTTGTCCCTTTCCCTCACAGGCTACCCTGGCCTTGGACTCCCATCACCATCAACCTGGACCCATCATCTTGGGTGACCGTGGGCCGGTCCCTTTCCTTCACTGGGCTTGACCTCTGGGAATGGGTACAACAGCCCCCCCCGCTCCCCCAGGGCTCCTGGGCCACACGAAACTGGTCATGGGTGCACCAGCACTCCCAGAGTCCCCTGTCTGGAACACTGTGTCCCACTTCTCAAAACCTAGCCTATAGCCCAGCCGGAGAGAGCACTCTATCCGGGTCTAATTTCTCTTATCTTCCTGGCCTGAAATGGCGTCTGGGGCATCCTGTCCATTCAGAGGGTCGGCTGCCAGGCAGATCCGTGTCCATTTCTCACAGAGTCTGACTCTGGGGGGTCTCAGCCCAGACTCCCCCAAGCAAAACAAAGCAGTTGTAACAGCACGGTACTCTGCGACCAGGGTGTCAGAGCAGGGACCGCCCTAGCACCCTGTGTCTGGCGTTGGGGAGCCACAAGTTCTGGGGGTTCTGGACGAGCCGGGGGCTGTGGGCAGGGGGATCGGGGACAGGAGCCGTGAGTGTAGGGGGCAGCGCCGTGACCGTTGTTGTGATGCCCGCGTCACCTGCAGGGACAGGTGGTTGGTGTGCTCAGGCAGGTCCCCCGGGAACTCGCGCAGGTCAATGCCACCGCAGTCCACAACGCCCTCCTGGGAGCAGGCACAGTCTCGGGGGCAGTTGATGGTGACGGGGCCAGGCCCTGGCTCCTCGGGTCTCAGCACCAACACCGGCCCCTCCTCCACAAATTCATTCTCGGCAGGGCTCAGGCTGTGGGTGCCACTTCGGCCAAACCCCGGAGACCTCGCTGTGCCCACCAGTCCCAGCCGCAGCTGCGGTGGCAGCAACAAGATGAGCAGCAGTACCCTGCTCCGGGCCATGGTACCTGCGGGTACAGCAGACACAGGGCGAGGGCCCACAGAAGTCAGGACGGGGCCCTCCTGGGGTCCTGGGCACGCATCTGATCCGCTGACTGCCACCCCTCCCTTCCCCACCCGCCTCCCCGTCATCAGGCCTGCCCTCCGGAGGCAAGGCAGCAACCCTTACCCGGCCTGGCCCCAAGGAACCTGTACCCCCACTTCACAGACGGGGAAGCTGAGGCCCGGGATGAACTGTGACTTGCAGGGCTTGGCTGGGACTTTGCGGAGCTCTTGCTGCCCTGGCACAGGCGGGACGGGAGGCTCTGCGCCTCCTCCAGAGCCACAGGGCCACGGTGGGCCAGCATCAGCAGGATGCATCCCGGCTCTTCAGCCTGCCACTCTAGGATGTTCCGGACTTGACCCCGTCTCTCTTCCAATACCCCCACCCCAGGTATACAGGTCTACCTAGTAGATCCTCTCTCCAGGCCTTTGCACATGCTGTTCCTTCTGCCCGGAACGCCCTCCCCCTCTCTTGTGCAGTCAGCAACTTCTCCAAGAACCAAGGTCAGCGTTGAGCTGCCCCAGGGCTCTCCTTTACTGTGCTCCCTAGGGCGGGGCGTGAGTTGGGTTGGGCTGTGAATACCGGAAGGTGTCCTTCTCCCACAGAGGGCCGTGAGCCACCCTCAGGGTCTGGGTGGAGGCCCAGCACAGGGCCGGCACAGAGCAGGCCTCAGGTGAATGGACCTTCCCAGTTCCTTCTTCCTGATGCTTACACCCTCACCCGGGCCTGCTGTGCTCACATGACTGGGGCTACCTGCAAGAGACCACTCCCCAGCATGGCCCTCTAGGGTAGCAGGGGTGGGGGACTGGGGATGGCCTCAGGCCATGAGGAAGATGCAGGGGTCCCATCTTCTAGGAGCGCAGGGGCCTAGCTTGGCTCCAGGGGGCTGGGCCTTGGAGTTCTCCTTACAGAAACTCACTTAGCAAACATCTCCGGGGAATGCTAAGTTGTGACAGGCCACAGCCCAGGCGCACTGACTCTAGAGTCCCACAGACCCCAGTTTGAGTCCCCTTCCAGCACTGCGCGGCCCTGACCTCCCTGAGCCAATTTTCCCATCCTACAACGCAGACGATACATCTAAAACCACAGCGTCTGCGAGGAGTCCGCACGTGGCCCCTCCTAGGGGATGGGCTGTGGCCGTCACTGCTACAGCAATTACGAGTGCAGGCATATGGCAAGCGCTTGGCCCTGGGGGCGGGGGGCACGCCTCAGTCTGAGGCCCTCACCCTGGCACTAGATTGGGGGCCACAGCCCACACAGCCACTGGAGAGGTCTGAGATGCTGGGCCTGGAGAACCTGGGAGCTGGCCACCGCAGCCGACGTCTGGTTAGGAAGGCAGGCGGGGGAGCCAGACCGGGGCTGCAGTCAGCTCTGGCTCTCAGTTTTGTCACCCACTAAACCTCGTCTTCCTCACCTGTCCATAGAGGTTACCAGAGCTGCCCTCGTGGCGAGACCGTGAGAGTCAGAGAGAGGCACATACTGCACACCGTAAGTGCTCAATACACGTTAGCTCTTCCTACCACTAATATCCGTGGGCATTGCCCACTCCAGAGCCCCCTGCTTCCTCCCCTTCTCTTGTCCAAATCCTGCTTGTGTTTGCAGCCCAGCCCCAGGCCCACCGCCCCCCAGATTTGCAGACTCCAGCCTTTTGCATGAATTCCAGCTGCCCTGTGGCAATTGCGACGTTTCAGACACTGCTTTGTCCCACTCGCTGGCTCAGCCAGCTCTCCAAGGTGAGGTCCCGTCTGCCCTCAGCCCTGTGCCAGCACAGGGGACACAAGCGAGGTGGCAGATTTCCCTGCCCCCAGTCTGAGGGGGCAGCAGAGCCCAGTACAATAACTCCTGCCCAGACTGGGTGAGCCCTCTGAGGCCCCAGAGGAAGGTGTGAGGACGGAGAAGAGGGGCAGCATGCAGGCTTCTTAGAAGTCCAATGCGCTATCCATTGCGCCACAGAGCCAGGCTTGCAGGCTTCTTAGAATCCATGTAGGTCTAGGAGGCCTAAGCAGGCTCCGGCCCCAGCCCCTGGCCAGGCAGAAAACCAGGGAGCCTAGCACACACACAGTTCCTGGGCCCCAGGGATCAGTTGGCAGCAGCGAGTAACTTGCGGCAGCCTGGCCCTAGGCCCACCCTACCACACCCCTGCTGCCCCATCCCCTGACCAAACGGGCCATTAATCCTCAACCCGTCTACAGTCCATCACTCCCATGCACATTATAACCCTCCTCCCGCCACCCCCGACTGGCTCAACAACCTGCAGCCCCTGGAGCCACCAGCATTAGACCAGAGTCCCCCTCCCTCCCTGCCTGTGTGATCCCAGACCAGGGCTCTGGGAAGGGGAGTGTGGGCATAGGCCCAAACCCCAAATCAATCAGGGCAGGAGGCCAGGGAGAAAGATCCGTCCCACATATCTTTTTTTTTTTTTTAAAGATTTTATTTATTTATTTGAGAGAGAGAATGAGAGAGAGAGAGCAGGAGAGGAGGGAGGGTCAGAGGGAGAAGCAGACTCCCTGCAGAGCAGGGAGCCCGATGCGGGACTCGATCCTGGGGCTCCAGGATCATGACCTGAGCCGAAGGCAGTTGCTTAACCAACTGAGCCACCCAGGCGCCCCCCTTCCCACATATCTTGTGCACTCACTGGACCAGCTAGTTTTCCTCCCTCCCCTTTAATTTTTCCTAAGATCTATACACTGTATCTGTAGAAATACTTCATTTATATTAACATTAGGAACCATATTGAAAATGCTATCACCGTGACTTTATAGATGAGGGAGCTAGCAATGGGACTGGCCAATGTGACACAGCTGTTAAGTGGTGAAGCTGAGTCCAGCCTGGGGCGCTTCCCTGGGCCAAGCACAGCTGGACACTAAGGACCCAGGCAGACCCCACTCAAGTTTGGCTCTTGCCCTTAAGAAGCTCACACCTGCCCTGTCCAATGTGGTGGCCACATGCGGCTACTGAGCACTTAAAACGGGGCTAGTCTAAATTGAGAGGTGCCTTAAGTGTAAAATGTAGTGTACATGGATTCCAAAGACTAGTACAAAAAAGGATGTAAAATAACTCATTATTAATATTAATGCTCTCATATTTATTTTTATATTCAGTTGACTTAAATAAATTACTAAAATTAACTTTACCTGTTTCATTGTACTTTTTGAGTGCGGCTTCACATTACATGGTGGCTTGCACTTATGGCTCACGTTCTACTCCTACCGGGCAGTACCAGCGTGGACACTAGCTGTGCTCTGAGTATTATAATCCCAGTGTCATCGAGGTGCGATGGAGGGAAGCTAGAGTGCGTAGGGGCCAGAGGAGAGCTGATCATGCCTGGGGGTCAAGAAGGCTTCTCTGAAGAAGCGAAGCCTTATCTAGCCATGAAGGACGAATATCGGGCAAAAGGGAAAAGCTGACATAAGCAAGGAGGTCAGCAGGCGCAAGAGAGCCCATTTGTGACCTCTACAAAGCTCGCTAGAGTGTCTGCTGGGTGTTGGGGACTGGGAGGGATGCAGGTGGGCAGTCCAGGCCAAGAAGGGATTGGAAGCCAGGTTAGGGAGAGTGGTCCTTATCTTACGATCTTAGGAAAGATGAGGAGCCACTGCAGAGCCGGAGTGTGGCATAGGTGGGTTTATGGATGGACCAGTGCGGAGCTCTCCGAGGCTGTGCAATGGTACAGGAGAGGGGTAGTTGGCCTGGTCTGGGCAAAGAGAGGTGCTGGGATGGAGAGGAGGAGCTGGATTCACAGGAGAGGCAGGAAGAACAGACCAGGCTTGGAAGCTCCCATCTCCTCCTCTGGACCTTGGGATCCTGGGCAGTCTCAGCTCCACTACCTGGTTTTCTGTGTGACCTTGGCCATGTCATGGCCCATCTGAGTCTCAATTTGTTGTTGTTGTTCTTCTAACAATGTTGAGCAAGATTAGCCCCTAAAGCCCCTTCTGTGTGCTCAGCCACGCTGGGAGCTGTGTGTGGAAGAACAGAGGAGAGCAGGCCCCTGGTCTCTATACATCCCGAGTGAGGAGTCCCCCGGTGAGGAACAACTCACACACTGGGACAGCAAATGGCCAGTGAGAGGAGCAGCTCAGCCTGCAGTGAGCTCTTTCTCAGGGCGAGCGCTTTAGCCACAGGAGGACATGGTTCCACTCCTGACTGCTGTGTGAGTCTGGACAAGTCACTTCACCGCCCGAGCCTCTGTTTACTAGTCTGGGCAGTCCTCATGAGGACTGAAATGGAATGACATATCCATCTGATGTGGGCATCAAGCAAGTGCGACACACACGGGGTTACTGTTACTGAGGAAGTCCCTGGGACCTGCTGCCTCTCACCCCACCTGCCACCCCTGGGGAACCAAACCTCAAGGCCCAGAAGGGCTTAAGTGGGGGATTAAGGCAAGACTAGAAGGAAAGGGAAGGGAGACCCAAATCAGGACACAGATCCTCAGCCCCTAGCAGCACCTTCCTTCTCCACTCAAATACCGTAAAAAATCACCAATCACCCACTGTGTGCTGGGCCCCAGACAGCTGCATCTTACCATCTCTAATAGAAATCCCCAAACTAAAGGATAGTCTTCCTACTCTGCAGATAGGAAACTCAAGCACAAAGGGGCTCCCATTGCTGCCCATCCCCAGCAAACTGCTACTCAAATGTCCCTGCTCTGGGTAGCTGCTGCTCTCCCCTGACTGGGTTAGGAGGTTCTTTAGCGCCCCCACAGCACCCCTGGTCCACTGCATCCCGCAAGATTTGGCAAAGCCTTTCCTGACTCCCCAGGCATGGAGCAGGTGCTCAGGAAATGTTTGCTGAATGAAGAAATGAAATTGTGAAAGGCAGAAAAGATTTGCAACGTTATCTGGTCTGACCCTCTCAGTTTACAGATCAGTATGTTGAAGTTAAGACCAGGACTGGAATTTGCGTCTTCTGACTCCTGCCCAGAGCCTTGAACTGCTCTTGAAGGCTGAGTAGGAGCTCTCCAGGGGGACAAAGGGGAGGAAAAGTACTTCAGACAGAGGGAAAGGCATGAGCAAAGGCACAGTGTGAGGATGGGGGAAGAGGGAGGTGCCTTTAAAGAAAGGTAAACAGGATGAGGCAGGGGAGGAGCTTAGGGCTGGAGGTCCAAGCCTCCAAGGGTGTCAGCCACTATGCTAAGGTGCTGGTGATAGGGAGCCATCAAGGGTACCAGGCAGGTCATGGTCAGAGGTCTTATGTATGACTGTACAGGCCTAAAGATGCCACCATCAGTCACCCATCCCCTAAGATTCAGATAGAAAGAACAAAGTATGTTGCCACGAGATTGCGTGAAAACAGTCACGTGAATCTAAGATTTCTTAACTTGCACTCCAGGCTCCAGCAGACTGGGCCGTGGGCCCTAAAAGGGGACATGAGCACCCAGGGTCTCTCGCGGCTCACAGCAGTGGTGCGTCTTGGAGCCGCTAGCCCACTGCGGCACTTTTCCGCGCCGGCCCAAAGTGCAAGGGCAGCCACTCAGCTGGCCGGGGGCCTCGACGGATCCGGGATGCGCTCCAAGTGCCAGGCGCGCATCCCTCTGTGCCTTGGGGCCCAGGGACTGTCAGAGCCGCTCGCACCCCCTTGCGGCGCCCGCTCCTCTCCTTAAGTTCCGGCTGCAGCGGCCTCGCACCCGGAGACCCAGTGGCTGCCCTGCCCGGGGCCCGCCACCGCCGCCTGCCCTTCCACCTGGCGGCTCCTCAGGGATTCTAAAGCCCCCGCCCCCGCCCGGCGGTTCAAGCACCAACAACCTGGGACTTCCGCCGCTTCAGAGGGAGGGCGCCGACCTCGCTTCTCGCGCTCCGCGCCCCCCCTTCCTCAGTCCAGCTGTCCCCGCGGCAGACAGACGGACACCAGGTGCCAGCTGAGAGCTCTGGCTCGCCGAGTGCGCGGCGCGGGGCTGGGGAGCCAAGCCGCGAGCGGGTCCGAGCGGGGGTCGCGCGGGCTCCGCCACACCTGTCCGCGCTTCCCGGAAGCACACCTCGGCCCCGCTCTAGGACTCAGTTTCTCTGTCTGTAACCAGGTTGAAGGGTGAACTAGCCGGGGTGAGCTGACGTAGAAAGACGCGCGTCTCTAAGTCCAGGGGTCCACGCCCCTCCCCAGTTCCACCTGGCCCCACATTCCCGGTCGCCCGCCCACGTCCTTCCACTTCCCCCTCCCATCCGCCCTCAGATTCTTTCCAGATGTGCGCAGCGGGGGGGGGGGGGAGGCGCGACCAGCCTCTGGCCGGCGAGGAGAAAAGGCCCCTGCCGGGGTCGCGATCGCGGAGGGGGTCGCACGCCCAAGGTGGAGCTCTCGACTGCGCACTCGGTACACCGCTCCCACCGAGGGGGCGAGTGCGGCGGCCCGGCCCGGGGTAGCTGCGGGAGCCGTCCGGACCCGGCGGGGACGTCCGAGTCCGCCGCCCAGGCTCGGCCCCGGCCCCTTGGCCCACCCGGCTGCCCGCGCCGGGTACCTGCTGCGCCCCTGCGCCGCGCCGCGCCCCGCCGGCCGTCCGCGCTGTCCCGAGTCTCCGCTGCGCTCCGCGGGCGCGGGCTCCTTCCATTCAAGTCGAGCCGTGAGCTCCGCGACGCAAGTTTTGTTGTGGGTTTTCTCCTCCCCGCCTCTCTCCCGCCCCCCCTCCACACCGCGTGCATCTGCTGGACGCCGGCCTCCTCCGGACACAGGCGTAGGGTCCCCACAGACGCGGGGGAGGGGAGAGGGCCTGCCCCCTCCCCGCGTGGATTTGGCCAGGCCCCCCTTCCCGGGGAGGCAGAGCCCCCGCACCGACCCCTCTCCCCCTCTCCGCCCCGGCGGGGCCACCGTACCACGCCCCCCCACCCCCACCAAGAGGCTGGGAAGGCGGGGTGTCTAGCCCGCAACGCTTCCTAGTTCCCGCCTTCCGCAGGGGAACTGGACCCCCTTTAGGCCCCAGCACCTGAGAGGAGGGCAGGGGAGAGGGCCCCTTCACCCAAGTGCCTCTGAGCCCAGTTTCTTCCTCATGACTGAGGATTCTGCAACCGCTCCAGGCACGAGTACCTTTCCGTTCACTCTCCCACCCTGGGGTCCTGGGCCGTGGCTAACGGGGCCGCCAGCCAAGACCCTGCCGGGCCCCTTCCCGGAAAAGTTCCCCTCCCTCCCCGACAACCTCCCCCCCCGCCCCACGCCCACGTTGACCCTGGGCCCAGAGCCTCCTGGGCCTTGAAAGACTGTAAATTGGGCTGGGACTAGGGTGCATGCGGATCTCAGTCGCCGGGAGACAAGGGGGTTGGGCAGTGAGCCCTCACGGCACCATATTGCTCCCAGGAGCTGAAAACGTTTCCAAGTTAAGGAGCATTAACTACTAGCAGCTGAAGCAACACTGTTTGGCGCCAGGGGCTTTGGCGGTAGACCGCGGTGGGGCTGGGTTTAGGTGGTACTTGGCACCTCCACTGCCTCTACAAGGCTCTCCCCATACCTGCTCTGGCCTGTGGGCAGGGCACCCACAGCTACCTTACCTGGCTGCCCTCCTACTGGACAGGGAGAAGGATAAATAACTCAAACTTGGGACCACTTGCTCAACTTAAATTACCAATGCCCTGAATGAATGAATGGCTCATGTAAAGGATCTTTCATGGGCTTCTGCTGCTGCATCCTGATTGTACCACATACATTACTCTCTAAGCTTCACAACCCTGCAAGAGGATTACAGTTGGCCCCATTCACAGGTAAGGAGATCACCTGACAAAGGAAAAGTGATTAACTGAGTAAAATGGCCAGGTTTACCCTCCTTCCCCACAGCCCAAGTTCTTTCCATGATGGAAACAGGCAAGTAACTTGAGAATGCAGAGCCTGGATTTGAACCCAGAGCTGTCTGTTTCCATTACATCGATAACTCAAAAACAGCAAGAATGAGAAAGGGAAATATTTTGCCTTCTTTGGCCTCAGATTTCAGTTCTGAGCTCAAACTTGAGAGCTAGTATGATTCACAGGACTGGACAGGGGCCAACCCAGAGATGTATCTCCTGTCTTCTCAACATTGAGCCTAGATTCAAGTGGAGCTACAACAAGATTCTACTGACTTGAATACCCATGAACTAAAAATCTTCTAGTCTAGAAGGACAATGTGAACCAGCACATACTGAATACCTACTAAGTGCCAGGCACTGTGTGAAATCCTTAAATATCTTAATCATCCCAATCCTGAGGGGACAGTATTTTCTGTTACCTATAACTGCTGGGGCCAGCCACAGGGCACACCCCACATCTCTCCCACCTCACCCCCAGAGAAATAGGCTTTTCTGTGGAATGCCAAGCCCGTGCCCACACATACTCTGTAGCTGTCGGGTGCTGTCGACACACACACGAAAATCACCTGTCTGAAACAATATGGAGGAATCACTTTGAGTGTCTCTGGTGGAAAATGGAGGTGATCCTGGTGCTCTAGAAGGAAATCCTCTAACTTTCCCAATAGCTGTAAAGAGTTGAGTTTCAAATTGAGGGTTCCCAATCCACTTGTGTTGCTTTCGTTCCTTCATGCCTTATTTTCAGCTCCTGTTTAATATTACTTTAGTGCCTGGTGTCAAGTACAAGCTTTGAACTTAGATTTGGGTTCGAATCCCAGCTGGGTTCAAATGGAGACATGAATAGTACCCACGCCTCACAGATTGTCTAAATTAAAAGAAATTGGAAGTAAATGAGAAAATGGAGGTACAGAACTCCTCACAGCCCCTGGCACATGGCAAGTGTTCAATAAATAGCAGCTGTTATTACTGCCAAACTGTCACCGAGGCCTAAGCATCTATGAAACATTATTAAATAGAAATGACAAGTGGCAAGAATTAACCAGAAATCTCTGCATTATCCAGGGTAAGCGCCTCTAATTCAAAACAATGAGAAACAAGAAAACTCAAAAGAGGGGAGTAAAGACATACATGTGACCAGAGAACTAGGAGTGAAAGACAAGAGGGCTCTCATGGGGGGTTGGTGAGGAAGAAGGGGAGATAAGGTGTTGTGATACCTTCATCATCAGAGAAGAAAATAATTCCTCTTACTTTGAGCTGAGAGCTCAAGACCTTTCCTTATTAAGTAGTAGAGTCCCAAATACTGAGCTCTGGCAGCAGCTTGTTTTCAGCACAGAGATCAAATCACATGGTGTTGTTTTGTGTATATGAATTCCATCTGAAAGATCTTGATAAAAGACAAAACATCAAAGAACAAGCAGGGTATGATGGAAGAACCACAGGCCGAGTCAGATACAGAGAAGGTCTTCCGGGATCCTTGAACATCCCATAGAAACTCTTTTATTATTGGACGTTTTTGCTTTATGTTTTTCATCTCTTTCCCCCATTGGATTGTAAACCCTCCCGGGCAAGAAGCTCACTTCATGTTCTGCAAGGGCCCTTTCCAGCCCTAAAATACCAAGACTGTAGTAGGCAGAATGAAGACCCAAAGATACCCACACCCTAATCCCTAGAGCCTGTGAATGCTACATTATGTAGCAAAAGGGACTTTGCAGATATAATTAAGGTTATGGACTTTAAAATAGGGAGATTATCTTGGATTATCCGGTGAGCCTAACCTAATCACGTGAGCTCTTGAAAACACAGAACATTCTCTGGCTGGAGGCAGGAGAGATGAGGCCGAAGGGGAGATCAGAGAGATGTGAAACATGAGGACTCCACTAGTGTTAAAGGAGAGGGAAATGCAGGCAGCCTCTACGAGTTGAGAACCCCAGGCTGCCAGCAAGCATATGGAGACTTCAGTCCCACAGCAGCATGTCACTGAATTCTGTCAACACCCTGAGTGAGCATGGAAGCAGATTCTCCCCTTGAGCTTCCAGATAAGAGCTCAGGGCAGCCAACGCCTTGACTTCAGCCTCAAGAGACCTGGAGCAGAGAAACCAGCCAAACCCACCCAGACTTCCAAGCAGCAGAACTGTGAGATAATGGATTCACGTCGAGGCAAACCACTACGTTTATGGTAATTTGTTAGAGCAGCAATAGAAAACTAATACAAACATTAGTAACTAAAACCAGTATATGGTACAACAGCATTTTCCCATACGTCATTTCACTTAATCTTCCACAACAAGCCTGATTGTATTATTGCCCCCCTGTTTTAGGAAACTGATGCTCAGGGAGGATAAGTTACTTGCTCAGGTGGCCAGCTAATGAGTGCTTGAGTCAGAATTCACACTCAGGTTCCAACTTCAGGGAGAGTGGTCACCTACACTGCAGCTGCCATTCTGTGGCCTTAAGGTTCTACTGTCTTCAGCTAAGTAAAAATGGGGACTTCAGAAAAGACAAAAACAAACAGACTCGGGCTGCTTTCACACGATGAAAACTGAGAAGCTTTCAGTACTCATTTCTTTCTGTTTCTTCCAAAGATATCTAGTAAGTCACGGAACAAGTCAAGTTATAAACAAGTATAAAAAAAAAGTCTTCTTTCTGACACAGAGAAGAAAAGATTTTGATAAATGGCAAAAGGAGAAATCCTCAAGAGAGTGGCTATCAATGAAGTATTTTCTGCCATTCAGATGCTCTTCTAGCCACTGTTAAGGCACATCTTTCACAGGTGCCCTGTTTTGCCAGCCTGGTTCAGGAACATCTCTGTGTTGGAGCTTTTAGTCCACTCTTTTTTTTTCTTTTGAAGATTTTATTTATTTATTTGACAGAGAGAGAGAGACAGCTAGAGAGGGAATACAAGCAGAGGGAGTGGGAGAGGGAGAAGCAGGCTTCCCACTGAGCAGGGAGCCCGATGCAGGGCTCGATCCCAGGACCTGAGCCAAAGGCAGACACTCAACGACTGAGCCAGCCAGGCGCCCCTTTCAGTCCACTCTTGACCAGTTTTTATTGTCAGGCAGTTCAACTGATTTTTAGTCTGAAATTCCCCTTTTATAGTTCTTCCTATTAGTTCTAATAACTAGGCAAAATAACCCCTCCCTTTCATTGGTCTTTCCATCTCTCAAACATGTGTGAACTGTTATCACACCCTGCCCTTGGGCATCACTTTGCCAAGCTGAAGGCTCTTGTCTGCTTGCCTAGGTCAGTCTTGTCCTTATACTGTTGTATCTTCACATCTGAACTTCTTTTCCTTATATTTCTGTTCAAATGAAGTGTCTAATCTTAAACAGTGTTCTGCACACTCAGAAGTTGCTATATTCTAAAAGGTGAATTACACAATATTTTACAAAGAAAAAGAAAACATACTGCTGTTTGGTAGAAAACTGTAGCACTTACCACTTCTCAGCCTGCAATTTAAATAAACAGCAGACTACAATGAATTTCCCCCAATTCTGCATAAAAGTTTATGGCTACAAGTTCAGTAAATAAAAGGTCAAAATGCTTACTACCTGCTGCTGAAAACAGCACTGTGAATATTTACAAAGTATTTAAATGACTATTAATAGGATAGGTTAAATGGACATCACTTTTTGCAATAAATTTTGGATATGATACATTAAAAAAAATATTTCTGCAAGAAATCTGGCTAAAATTCCATACCAGATTAAACTGCCTGCCAAATAGAATTAGACACCTTATTTCTTAAGGGCCAGAAATCTGGCTCCATGTTCTCTGTTCTAACCAAGAACTAAAGAGCTGTTTGTTTGCAACAGTCTCCAGATAGATATTAATACTGGACCTTTCCAGTAGA